CTCACACCGATTCCAGGCATTAAAAATTAGGTCATGAAAATCACCCATCATATTGCTGATGGTCTTTTTCTTTGCTTTTGGATATCATATAAAGGCATCAATATGAATTTCAATCCATTTCTCTGATGTAAAAAACTCCACACAGGAGCTTTAACTAAATCAAATACAACACAGAAACATTCATGGATTTGCAAAGTATTTTGGCGGCCTGCAAAACTGACTGGAGCACTGATAGAGTGCATTTTCTTTGAGCATTGTCATCCTCCGTGGCTGCTGAATTAGCCTATTACAGCTTTGACTTCATTTACTGGAATTTTTAGGTACTTGAACTTGAACACAAAATTTAAAAGGTTGTTTGATTATGAGTGGGGAACCAAAAATAACAAGTGCTTTTTAGTTTCACTACAATCCACAACCAACTAAATCTGAGCCTTTGGAAAATAGTGCAGGAGTTTAGGTTGGCCCCCCTTTGAGTCTCATCGTCTCTATAATAATCTAGAGGATTTTTATGCAACTGCAATCATATATTAAGCTCACATTTAAACTTTGTTGAAGGTCACAAAAAACACTTCTCCCTCCCTCCACCCATCCCAGCACCCACCTGCACCAGATATCATTATCACCCCCCAAAGCATGACTCCTCCACCGAGCACCCCTACCTGTCATCCTCCCTCCTCTTCCCTCCTGCTGCTTGTCTCCTCTCCAACCTCTCTCCTCTGCTACCTGACACATCTCTCCTCTCTCCTCTCCATCTTTTACTCCACCTTCTTTTTCTCTTCCTCCTTTTCTGTCCCCTAATTTTCTCCACCTTTCTCCGTCCCAGTGCTCCCTGTAAGGACCCCCTCCTTCCCCACTTTCTGACACACTATACGTGTTGCTGGTGAACTTCCTTCTGTGTTCCATCTGCCCCTTTCCCACCTCTCCCACTCCCTTCCAGCAGACCCACCTACTCAACGGGTGCTCAGTGCACACGCAGGCGGGCGCACACACGGCCCGGAGCTGTCAACACACTCCTCAGACGGTCCTGAGCTCTACCACACTCCAACGGCAGGGGGAGTTTCATATGGGGGGGGGGGGGGGTGGGGGGACCTCAAGAGGGAAGCTAGAGGGCAAAAAAAAAAAAACACAGCGAATAAATTAAGTTTGTCCATTTCTTTTTTTTTTTTTTTCTGTTGGTCATTCAGCAGAATATTTTTTTAAACTTGGAATTTATTTTATTTTACTGAGTTGGAATGAGATTGAACAACCTAGATGAGTGTTTGTGCTCCGATAAGAAGTTGGTTACTGATGAAATTCACCCGAGGCCTCTTGATTACCAACAAAAGCAAACAAAACTACTCAGCATTTCAGTATTGAATTTTTAATGCCTGTACCTGCCGTAGATATCATATGAAACCTGATGTGTGGGGCTTAACTGTCCAGCACGGTGCCTGAGAAAACACACGTAAAAAAAGTGTTTTACAAACCCAGTACTCATATAACACGTTTAGAGCAGAGTGAAAGAAAAACTCAAATATACATGATAAGTGACAGATTTGACTGTTAATATAAACAGGATAGTTTTTTTTTTGTCAGAAAATACAACTTACAAAAGACTTCGTGATAAGTGGTCTCACTTTCTTTTAAGAGAAGTTCAAATTGCGACACACCGGGAGTCCATCACAGAAGCTGTCAGACTCACAAAATTTACCAACAAATACACAAATCATTTCGTATCACAAAAATTAAAAGTAGATGGATTTAGATCATTATTCACATTTAACAAGACTAAAAAATTCTTTACCACTGTTAATTTTTGTGGGGTTTTTTTATTAGGCGTTAATGTCATTATTTGAAAAAACCTGCCCAAAAATAGTGGTTGCAAAATTTTAGCTTATCATTTTTCATAACATTTCAATTTTTTTAATTTTGTGTTTCGGACTGTTATTCACACAAATCAGTGTCACAACTCATGCTGTTTGCACATTTCGGTCTTTTTTAACATTATGTTAACCAAATGATGATTGGTTTATACAGGATTTAACTGGAAGGTTGATCATTTAGGAGGAAGAATACATCTATTTTTTTCGCAGTCTTGTATCTACTCCTAAAGGTAGAAACTGCACTAAATTTACATAAGTCAAAAACAAAAAGTAATAGCTGTAGCTAATGTTAAGATCTTAGAATGATTGACATAGATAGACTTTTCAGCATTTAAATGTTTTAATATTGCATCAATTACTGAGTATAAGAGAGGGTTGAATATGTTGAATAATATGGTAATGGTTAATTATTTATACCAGAGAATTGAATAACTCCACCTCCAATAGTCTGACCAAAAATATGATAAGTTGCACAACAGCAGACTTTATTTCAGGGATCCTGTGTTAAAATAGATTGCATTAGATTGCTAAGTATTTCATGATTTTCTTTCCACCCCCTGTATATGTAGGATACATTATAATAGATCTGCTCTGTGCAAGGCTCTGCTATGATCTGTCTGCTGCCCCCACCTGCTGGTTAGAACGCTATCATGTTTTTGTTACTCAACACATTGAACTCCAGCCAACATCAGTGTGTTTATTTGTCTGACTGTTAATGTGTGTTTGTGTGTGAGCTTGTGTGTGAGTGTGTTTTTTTTTTTTTTACACAAAGAGATGTTCAGTCACTTCCACCCACTTAGTTTCTCTCTATCTAGCTCACAGTGATCTTTCTCCCACACCTTTCTCCTGCACCCGCTCCACCTAACTATAAAAGAGCAGAATCACAGCAGACCTCTGCAGCACCTAATGAACTTCACATACTGACGAGTGCAAATAATCAGCCACCAACCGGCTTTCTAGACGGTGTTGTTTATATCACACGGTTGCTCTTGAAGCCACAGGAGGGGGAGAGTCTGTGACCTTAAGAGCTGCGGGGCCTGCACTGTCTAATTCCATGTTTATGGTTTTGCCTTTTTTAACACACAGACGGAGCTGCCCAGGCCACAAGCACACGGAAATATCATCATGCGCCCTCTCCACTTCTAATTGGTGCCTTGGTACCATCCCTCTGGTGGGGACTCGGCTTTGTACAGGGCGACCTGAGGAGCAGGGCCAATTTCAGCCTTTGCCTCACTTTCTAGTCGTTCTCTGCTCAAAATTTACTGAACTTACAAAAAGAAAAAAAGTAAACTTACTACATGATGTGTGTTTTTGTTTCATATAATTTCACAGACTTTTGTTTCTTTCTATGTGTAAATCATTATCATACTTAAGATATGAAGAAAAGTCATACTTTGTATTTATCCATCCACCTGACAGGTGACTTGACCCTACCAAGAGAGTGTACTGCCCGGTTTCCTTAACTTGGATCATGCAGAAGTTGAAATTGGTGACCCTGAATCCGAAACCAAGTCCCTGAAGACTGAGGATAGCAATTGCAACCCACAACAACCTGTTTACACACATTTTTAAAAAGCCTGCTCCAGTTCTTTTTCAGGAATCCCTGATTTGAAAAACAAGTTGAGCTCCAAGGGTCAGACTTACATTTTCTATTTCAGGTTTGTAAATCAAGGAAGTAAAAATCTTAGCAGCACACATTTTAAAAATAATTTATTGTATTAATACAATGACACTCTTAACATCTTTCTTTAATAATTTGACTCTGTTTGTCTCAGGATGTTTATTTCAACTATTTTCCAAACAAAATATTCTCCTCAGCATTTCACAGCAGACATGCCGAATAAATAGATTAGATCATCGTAGTTAAATTTAGTCAAGCACTGGTTAGAACTGATGTTGGTTCGGCATAGTTGTTACAGCAACTAACAACACCAAGTCTTTTAAAGCTACAGTAAGGAACTTTTGATTTGTGTTGTTTTTGCTGCCCCTTGTAGTCTTAGTTTATCCTGTCCTCTATGGTCCAATCCCAAACCGCCCCCCTACACACTTGGCCTTCACTACCGAATGTCACTCATAATGAAGTTACACTCGCAGCTGTGGAGTGCGTCTCAATTGAAATCGGAGGGTATAAAACAAGACGGGCGGGTATGGGATGCCCCCCTCGTTACACCGGAAAACGGAAAGATTTATCGCCATAGCAACATAAAGACGCGTCCTGTTCTTAGTAAACGGAGATCATGTACAGTTCACCGGCTGCCTTGTTTCTTCATCCTCCCAGTAAAATCATAAATTAAATTAAACTTCTCATTGTTGGTGATTCAACATGTCTTTGAACCCCTTTACTATTTGACATGTGCCTGCACAATCAAATCAAACCTCAGCACAGAGTAAGATTTCCGACTTCGGTTTGATCTTTCCAAACCACGTCTTTTGTGATTTTTTTTTGTCAGTGAGACAACGGTGGACACATACATAACTTACGTATATTTGTATGTTGTTTCCTCCTCCTCCATTTTTGCCGGCGCACTACCTGCAAATCCTGTTGTGAGTGTGCATCTGTGCAGACTATTATTGCTATCTATTATATACTATTGAAGGGCTGAACGGTCCACTCACCCTCCGCACTCAGTGGTTTGGGACGGCCTTCAATATGGCGGAGCCTCTGCGGGGACGCACAAACGGAGGGAGAGTGCTTGAGTACTGATTTTTGACAACCATCACATCCTGCTGACTTTTCTAAGTCAAATGTATCATTTACTGTGAAAATTTTATATGTAAATTGCAAAACAGGGCTGTTTCTTACCAACCCGTATAGGGCATTGTTTTAGGTTTTAAAGTCTACAACTAAAAGGCTGTAAACTCATTAAATACCTCCATGGAACGACTTTAAACCTTGTCTGTGTGGGTGTCCTCATAGTGTTAAAAACATGACAAGTTAAGAGATAAAAGCTTTTTTTGTTTATGTGAATAACTTTTCAAAGTATTACGTCACTGAAACAAGTGTTTTTAGAACACTTGAACTCCACACAATGGTTTCCTTGACGACGGTTCGAATTACTTCTAAATTTTACAAACTTTTGCACCTCAACTTCAGAGAAGTCTCAGCTCTTCCGTTTGGTAGACTAATTAACTCAGATAAGATGTGAACAGGTAAAGTTTATTTTTATAACACCTTTCAAAAACACATTAGAAGGTTCAAGGGCAACAACATTACAAAGTTTACATTTATGATGTTTTCACTAATAACATTTTCAACAAATTAAAGCAGACAGGCAGGTAAGACAAAACAAATTGGTTTTTAAACTGTTTTTCAAAAAGGTCTAAAATGTTCACAGTTCACATGTTTCAGTAAAGACAGACCTCAAAGTTTGGAGCCACAACTCCAACATACAGTCTCCATTAATTTTGAGTTTGGTCAGAAAAATACAACGCACGATCAGAGGACCTCAGAGTTTTAAAAGACTGAGCACCTTTATTCACCCTGTTACTGTCATTTTTAATGTTAATATTACACAGCTAACATGTCAGGGGACCACTGGCTAAAGTTTGGGACATGTTCAAGACCACGTGGAGTTTAGTTCATGTTTTCATTGCCCCAAACTGCCTTTTGAAGGTTCTGTGCTATGTTTATATGCTGGTCCGTCTGAGCTCTCTCCACCAGCTGTCAGTTTAAAAAAAGCCCTTCTGAATCCCTGGAGTATCATGTTGTTCATAACATGCATGTTGAAAGAATCACTCATAAACACTTAAACTGAATTCCTTATACTGCATTTTCCACTTTAACCACAAGGGGTCATAATTACTTTTAAAAGAGTCTTTTGCAGGTATAGGCTGGTTTCCTGAAGCACAGTGACCTATAGTCTGGGGTGAAGATGTTTGATGTCTAACTCTGTGAGAGGTATGGAGTCAAGATTTTAGGTTGACAAGTATTAATAAAACAAGAAAAATATAATTTAATGTTATTATAAAGGGAATCAGTTACCAAAATAAACAATTACAGTAGCCTACATGTTGCGTTGTGTTGTGTTAGCAAGCTATTCCTCTACTTAAAAGTACAAATAGCATATTTTGTGTAAGGTGAATCAAACTTTTAATGAGATACAGGACATTACTAAAACAAATGTTACAGGTAGGACTAGATTTAGACCCATACACTATATGTATGTATGGGTATATGTTTATATTAGTTTAATAGGGATATGTTTATGTAGGCCTATGTTTCTGCATGTAGAAACGTAGTCTCACTACTTTATTCAATTTACAGCATAAATATGTGTTATTATGCAACTACACGGATAAATGACTGAGGGTGATTGATGAGTGCCAGTAAATTGTCCCTACTAACAATGCTATCTATCTATCTGTCTGTCTGTCTGTCTGTCTGTCTGTCTGTCTGTCTGTCTATCTATCTATCTATCTATGTAAGATAAGGACACTTTTTTACAGGGGCTGCCAACTTATACACAAATATATGATCTAGTACATAAACTCATGTGTATGTCAAATATTTTTGTGATTAGAATGAATTACTCTGAGCTGCGATGGTGGAATGACATTGTTGAATTGGTGAAATCTTGTTCCTACATTACAGTTTTTCTCAATCGCTTTGGTACATTCCTCACATCACTCTTAACATTTGCACAACGGTTAGTGCATTTCTCAGAACAATTAGTAGTACCAACTGCAAAACCTAGTGGATAACCTGCAAAAGTGCGTCACTTGCTCAAAATGAATAGTTGATTCCTGAAAAGCAAGTATTCATGTCAATGAAACTGTCTGTGTCATCAAAATAATTAGTCCCAACATCATTGTTTATGAACACGACAGTCAAATGGCTTTGTCATGTTTTCATTGACAGTTCATTCTCTCTGTGTTTTCCAATGCAAAAAAGTCTGACCTTGGTGACTTTTCCTGAAAATGCTCAAGACAGCACTATACACTACCTGTACAGCCATTTGAAAACTACAGTAAAGTTACATTACTGTATTTAGTGGGGTAACTGAATACAAGACACATGTATGTTTCACATATTTACTGTATATGCGCTTTGCAATTCTACAGTATTGTGCAAAAAAAATAAAGTCACTGTCACTTATTTAGGACAAACATAAGAAATACCATTTTGGTAGAACTGTGCACAAATGTAAACAATATAACAGTACATATTACTGTAAACTGAAAAGAAATTATTCCTGGACATTCACAGTGGTTCTCCCTATATTTGGTAACACCCGTCAACCAGCCTCAGCCATAATGAGGCCATCATTGACAACATGGTCCCCAAGTGAAGCCCTAATTTCATCAGGGATTTGCCTACTTCACCTCGTCTTCCTTTGCCCCTGTTTTGTCCCTTTCCCTTTCCTCCCCGCATTCTCACCCCTCCTCCATGACGCTGACCTTCCATTTTTGTGTCACAGACTAGTAGAAATGGAACTCACTATGTGCTGCTTGGTTTATATATGCTTGCCAAGTGAGGGTTCATGGGATTCAGCTCTGAGTGACTGTGGACAAGTGGCTTGTCATTGGTTACAACTAATGCTTCACACACCTCCTCATGAGAGAAAGCTGAGGTTCACTTGAGAGCAATTGTTCAATTTAGGAAACATATTCAGGAAAAAAATTGATTGAGAAATTTATTAAATTGTCTTAATAGATTTTGAGAACTTGTTCAACAATTTTGTATGTAATGACTCAAGCAATGAAATGAGGACTACTAGTTATATAGAGAATGACTATTCAGCATTCAGAAGTATAGTTCATTTTGACTGACATGACAGAAGCAAATGATAATGTTATAAAACAGCAGAGAACTGTATGAAAGTAACTCATACATGTCCAAGAGCATTTGACACTGCTATGATGATGTGCACAAATGACTCAATGTTGTGGAGGTTGAACTAATAGGTGTGAGAACTACCATTCTGATCTGAGAAATGCACCTAAGAGACTGAAAAAACTATCATTTGGGGCCAATCGGTGAGCCAACATAAGCAAAATAATCACGTTGAATTGTCCTCAACGGTTATTCGCAAAGACAGGCAATAACAAAGGTGGGTGTAACAGCTCAAACTCAATTATATCCTGAGGCACGCCGTATTTGATATCAAACCACGTTTCCCACAATGCCTCACTCTCCGTTGCACGTGTCAACGCGGCCAGCAAACCGGAGTGAACGTCACATTCCTGCATTCCCTTTTTCCTCTGCCTGGGACGTCGGAGTTAGCTGCTTGTAGACACCTAATCCTCTTCCCACTTTTCTTGTGGAGAAACACACCCATGACACGGCGGGTTTGATCGCGGGAAGTGAACCCAGGTTCCCCCAGGAGTCCGAAGCTCACTTTGGGTAAGGATTTATCCCACTTTAAGCCGGTGAAGGTGTCTGTCGTTGGAAATGCGCTAGCTATGGTTACCATAACAATTTCAGTGAGGAGACGTTGTCGCTCAGTCTGACCTGATTTTTTGCTTTGTCCTCAGTCGGCAGACCTGTTGATGCTAGCAAAGCGGCTGCAGAGTGGGTTTTAGCCGTGAAGACTGGCCTGTTGTTTACGGTTATATTAGGGAGCTAGCTAACAGTAGCTCCAGCTGGTTAGCCGCAAAGCTTGCGTCACCATTGTTACCGGTGGTAGTACGCGGGCGAGCACGCGAGGGTGTGGAAGTTCCTCCAGATGTGGCTTTTTGTGTTTCTGTCAAAGGTGCTTTGTATTGTGTTCATGTGGATGCCATACGTACCTGTCGCGATACACTCCCTGGCTAACGGAGACATACCGTACAGTGCTCGCATCCCAGACAGCATGGGCGTGGTTACAGGAGTGCAACAGAAAGAAAAACTACGACCAACGCTGTGATTGAATGACTGTGGTTAGCAAACAGGGTCATCTTGACGATTTAGCTTGGTTTCTGTTGAACAAGAACCGAGCAGGAGTGACCGGAGTAGAGTTTCAGATTGTTGTAGTATGTCAGCATGCCCATGGAAAGGAGCTGAGCTCGCTGCAGCTCAGCAGTCAGTCAGCTGTTGACCTCAACAACAAAGGAAGGATCACAGCTGCTTCTTGTCACTGGCAGGGCCGAGGGAAGCAAAATCAACTCCAAACTTGTGTCAAACATAGCGCGATCGTTTTGTATGAAGTAGAAGCTGATTACTTAAGTTTGTTTGGTGTTTCATTTGCTTCATGTGTATTTTACAAGTTCCTGATATGGCAGCCTCCACCCACTTTTAGCACTCACTCATTCGTCACTCTCTACTAGGGCTGGGCGATAAAACGATAACGATATATCTTGGAAAATTACTGAATTACCGTATATTCTACCGATTACTCGAGTAATTGGACCCAAACGTCAGACTCACATAAAGTTAGATTTCCTATAGCCCCACAATGAAGGCCAGAAATAGAGAAATAGACTATAATCACAGAACAAGTGTGTGCATTAGTGGATTGCAATGCTTGTAAGGAAGCTAATTATGATATTAACTTTAATCATGCCCCTTAAGACATCAGTGTCCGAGAGCTGAATAGCCTCTATGTTACCTGCTTCTGTTACGACACCAGCAATGTTCGGCTACAAGCTAGCATTAAGAGAAGTGTGCAGAGTTGCTAGGTTGGCAACACTGCAAGAAAAGCCCCTCTCGTCATTTATTTTTTTCTGCTCCGCAAAACCTAAACAGTGCTTACTCCTCCTTCTACCGCGGTGATGTAACAGTGACGCTTTGAGCTTATAAACCAGTACGCGAGGCAGAGAAAATTCCTCGATCATTATTTGCAATCGAGGTAGTCGAGGAATTGTTTCAACCCTAGTCAATATCCTTTTCAATTGTCGGACTTCTGCTGTGTTTTGGTAGACTGTAGACTACTAAGTAGCAAACAACTGCGTAGTAGCAGCCTGCAGCTACATGCAATTATAGCACTTTAACAGGTGAAGCCGACAGCACTGTCGGTGAGAATAAAAGAAAAGAGTGCTACTACCCCCAGCAGAAATGTAGATGAACGCTCAACAGATGACAACATCGTCGACAACACTGGCACAAAGACCTCACAGATGCAGCAGCTTATTGTATTACAAAAGACATGCTACTAATAAGCACTGTTAATAAGTATAAGAAGTATAAGAGTATAAGATTGACAAGTGATTTTTTTTAATATCATGGTATATATCAATATCGACTGATATGAAAATAAAATATCGTGATAAACTTTTCCCCACATTGCCCAGCCCTACTCTGTAGTCTAAAAATTTCCAAAAATAAGAGGCATGACCAGTGGGAGACAATTCAGACTAGTGTGTTTTTGTCTTTTTATTTAAGTCAAGTTCACTCATTACATTCCTTGGATTCCTGCTGTTCACAGACTGATTGGATCACGGTGACTTTACAGAGGTAAAGGAATGTTTGCGTGCCACCACAAGTCACACAACAGAGACCCTCCTGAAAGCAATGAGACCGGATTTGCCACACAGTAAATAGATCAAAACCAAATAAGCTGGATTTTCTCTCACAGACAGACAGCTTCCTCAGTTAAAGTTGCGTAAGTGAGTTGATAATCTAATGTACCCTACTGAGAGGAAAATCTCTCCCTTTGAATGAAGGACTTCTGTTTACTCAAAGTAATCTTTTCCTATGTTGCCCACATTGCTATGCGGCCTCATCATGAGGCGTATGCTGGTTTATCGGTCTGCTTAGTTGCAAGTCAGGTTCAGCCAGTGTTTCATCCTGTACCTGATGTGCATAGTATTATTTAACTTGGTGTGTTTGCAACCTGAACTCTGCCTAGAATGGTGAAGTTATGTAATAACTCAATTGCCCATTGTGATTGTGGAATTGTCAGACATGTTCGATATTCACAAATCTATTATTTAGTAATTGAATGTCATTAGCCCTTTTGTAACTTTACATGGGCTAAGATGTTAACACCCGAGGAAGATGTTTATTACTACATGCAATGACATGAGTGCTGATTCCAAAACATGTGCCTGTATTAACGGAAAATTATAGGATACATAGAAGTGTGTAAGGATTTGAGAATGTAAGGAATGCAAACACATCCTCCTGTTGACAGTTTTATAGCCAACTGTTATCAAAACAAGATCCGAGAAAATATCTGTTTTTGCAAGACTGTACCTTTAAATTAACTGAAGGTAGTTAGGGCATAGGAACAAATTTGTGCTTTACTGGAAATGCGGTCTCCAACTAACTTTTGATCAACTTAAAAACAGGCAAAGAAGTTGAGTTGAGGTGGCGGGCAGCTACAAAATGCCCTCTCTTCAGTCAGCTTATTTGCTCCTAAGTATGCAAATGTATACACAATAATGAGCCTAAATGTAGTCAGAACCAATGAGTCATAAAGAGTGTCACACCCTGTTCTGTTTTCTGTGGATAAAGAAAGATGACAGTGAGACCAAAACTGTTCTTTAATTGTATCTGCGTTCAAACATATATAAATCTCCTGGAATTAGTGAGATTTCTTGGGGTTTAGGAGCTAGCTTCAGGTAGACACATAAGGACTGCAATTTTTTTGGCTAATTTTTCAACACCAGAGGTTACTGCTTGGTCTTATTCAGATCCTGAGCTGAAATATTTTGCTTGTTGTTTTGATTTTTTTTCCTCACAGACTTCTAAATTTATTGAACTAAACCACAGGTGTTTCATGTAGTCCTTTGATACCCGGTACAGGCTGTGCTGTATTAAAGAGCTGGTTCATCACATCATTGTTGAAGCGTTAACTAAAAAAAAAACAAATCCTCTCCTGTCAAATGAAATATCGGATCTGTCATTTAATCTCTGAGGTGATAAGTAGTGATTGAGCAATAAGTCCTCCACTTGTCACGAAGCTTTGAGAGATATCAAAGCAGCTCAAATCCAATTTCATCTGAAAGTTAAAGTTCAGGCAACTGAATGTGAAAAACTAAAATGTATATTAGTGTTGCTTTTAACTGACTCCAAATCCAGGCCCTGTTTTGGAGGTCTGCAGACACAGTGCGGTGTCATCAGACCAGCGATCTGCAGACAATCTGCAGACTGCACCCCTGGCGTATTTGAGATCTGCATTGATGTGATGATTGAGTCTGTGAGGTCTGCCCTCAGAGGTCAAACCAAGAAAGAAAAGAAGTCAAAGAATGATCACAGAGAAGCAGGAAATTATGTCAGTATCATGGTTTATTGAAGAAGCAGCGTAATTCCTTATGCTTTTACAAATGCAGAGGGGTAGATGGGGGGTGGACCCGGCTAAACACATGCAGTGTTTTGTAGGATGTGAAAGAGTAAGAAAAAAAATCATGTTATAGAGAGAGTGGGAGTAGCCTGCAGAAATCTGGAGCACCCTGACTCAGCCTGCATAGCAGAAACCTAGCCTCATTTCAGTGGGAACTGCTGCTCATTACAGTGCCTGAAGTGTATGGATGAGTGGGTGGGGAATTGAAGAGAGGTAACAGACTAAAGGAAACATACAGGAGCGCTATAAGAAGAGAGATACAAGGAGGAAGGTTGAGACTGAAGACGTAAAAGCAGTTCTTTTTCAAATTTCCAAGTCTGTGTTGTATGAAAACAAGCAACTATGGGACTGTTGTGGAAGTTTTGGTCTTTCTATGGCCTGCCTTTTGTTCTCCCAAATCACATGTTTTGTCATCATCTCATGTGTTCAACCCTAACCGGCCAATAATAGCCACAACAGCTCCGCCACACACTGGCCTTTGTTGCCTCTCCTTTCACTTTTGTGTTGCTTTGAGGCCTCCGATGTTCTACATACACCTCACCCATGTTGTGAAGCCCGTGAGCTCTTCACACACTCTTGTTTGTGAAAGAGAATTTCTGTATTTGTGTAAGTGAGTGTGGATTTGGACAGAAAGGCATTGTCTAGCTATTGTCCCAAACAGTTTCACAGTATTGCACATGCCCAGTCTGTTCCCATTAGGTCACTACAGGGGCATAGGGGCACAATGAGGCTATTGTTTTAAGTGTACACTGACATACACATGCACATGCACATTATGATGGACCCCCCCCCCCCCCCCCCCAAACTGAGGCATGAGTAGGCTCTCCTCTACTGCTCTGAACTACTAGATTCAGCCGACTCCGTATGAGTAAACATATTCAGGGTTTTTCCTGGCTCAAATTGAGGCGGAGGTGGCACCATCCTGACCGTGCGCCACGACGTGCATGTATTTGTAAATTCAACCGATTCACTTTCTTTTACAGGCAACATACGTTAAGTTAAGAGTTCAAAAAAAGAGTGTGACCATTATTATGTTAAAGCATTCATTTATTAAAACTATATACATACACAAATCAGCTGGCAACTTTAAATTGAAAGTACACTTCATCCACACATCTCACAACCAGACAGAACATTTCAGCCTCCTCTTTTTCATTCTGTAGAACCTCCTCATGCACTCCTTGTAGTCCAAGGCCTCCTGGTCTGGTCCATCAACGGCCACCTTACAACAGACATCCAAGTGCCTCTCCTTCAGTCTGTTCCGCAGAGGTGTCTTCACCTTAAACAAAACAGTTCATCATGCATTAAGTATTTTTGTTTTTATTCTGATACAGACATGAAGAGTGATAGTGTTTTCAATCATATATATGTATACGCTGCAGTGTCCTCTCTAAAAAAAAAAAAAACGACAACCAATTATTTCTTAAACTATCTAAATTATGTTATTTATTTTTTGTAACTTTATTAGTTGAGTTTTTTTAGGTACTACCATCTTTAATATATTTCTCCTTCTCTTCTGCTGCTTTGTGAATGGCTGTCACCTCATGTCTTTTTAATGTGTCCAGCCCTTAGTTGGTTGATGGCTGTCTCACTAAGGAGGCAGCAATTGCCTGCTGTGTTGGGGCACAGTGCTTTTGGCATAAATAGCAGTGCATGCCTTCCTCAGTATGCCTGAGCCAGGTAAATTGATTGAGCCACTGCTTGTCAAAGCCACTGGCTCTGTGTTTTTGAGAAGATCTGGAAAGAGGAATAAAAACCACGTACACGTTGGCTTTGCGTTGTTATGCTCCTAATTGAAAACTAATTAATTAATTACCCTCGCCTCGCCGACTCGTCCTGTCCTGCATTCTGACCCTCGCGATCACCAGTCCCTTGTGAAGTACTTTCAGACCTGACACAAATTTCCACGTTGTCACCAACATGAATTATAGCATTTTAACTGCCTGTTACGTTTTTTCTCTGCTGTGTTTCACCTGGACTCTTGACTTTCCTCCTCGCGAGGTCGCTTTTTAAAGTACTGGCTGATTTTGCCTGTCATATCTGCAACGCTAAAAACGGAGTAAACTTTTTTTTTAAATAAACACGACATGCTTGGATGCAAAAAAGAGAAGCAGTATTTACCTGTTTGTACCATCCGCCAGGGAAAATCAGGACGCCGATAGCACCAACTAGCGGGAAAAACACTTGAAAAAACATGATTCGATCCGTTTCTTCTTCGGTAGATGCTTCAAGTCTTTCCGGTGCACTGCTGTTGATATAGCGCCTTTATAGTGGCGAAACGCTGCAACTGCAGTTAAAATACGTTGCTGCTGCATCGGGACATCAATCGCTCAATCAACACAGCTGGAGCTTTACGCTGTGTTGAGCGAAATCAATCGCTCTGACTGGGGGCGGCACAAAATTAGGTGGAGGCGGCCGCCACGCAATTTTGAACGCAGGAAAAACCCTGCATATTTACTCACAAACAGCTTGTTATATGAATGGGAAGAAGATACTACAGCCGGTTTCTTGGAAGTCTGTTTATGAATAAAACTATAAAACCATATAGACACACACTCCTTTATTTGTGTGCAGTGATCTGCTTGTGGCAGTTACAACTTTCAAGGCATTAAAAGTTTATAACAACTGTGACGTCTTGCCCCAGTGTTTACATGTACAGTAACTCATGAACTGTGTGTGATTTTACCCGGTGAAGAAGAGAGGCTTTCATATCCTGTCAATAACCACCCGAGTTCAGCAGTTCAGTTTCGGTTGGGATGTCTTCGGGCTTTGTGTAGTACCAGGTTCAATAAGAGTTCACTTCTGAGGAAAACCAGCTTGAGTAAGAGAAATTTAGCAGGTTCCCCTGTTAGAAAGTGTCGATGCAAATCCAGCCCAAGATATTTGAATATGCACAATCATGTACCTGCTCATCAGACCAATAAAAACATGGTTACAAATGTTCCTTTCTACTTATTGAACCTTACAGAGGGCTGCTGAGACAAAAAGAGAGGTTGAAGCAACAAAGACGATAAGGCTCCAAAACTGAATGCCTGCTTTGCTTTGTAAGGATTCCTAATTGATTTGGGCAGGTTACAAAGGTTTCACTGATTCAAGCTAAATGGTGCAAGCCCAAGTAAACAGAGCCACTTTATCTTCAAATCCTCACCAGTGTTGTGCAGAGCTTGTGCATTTTACTAGGGCTGGGGCGATTCGTCGACGTAATCGACTACAAAAATTTGTTGACGCAAAAAAACAAACGTGGCATGATGACGTAGACAATGGCTACTTCAGGTAACAGTGGAAGCATGGACGGCAAACAAGCTCCACCTAAAGGGGTCGATTTCACACCTACTTTAACGTGATCCATGAGCAGCTCCTCTTAACCAATGAATGTGTTCTTCGTGGCTTCCTCGTTCACATTTCCAAGATCGCGCTCCTTTCATTCAAGGAGACATGCAGGGACCTGTCAATCAGATCTCCGCCACCGTGAACGCTGCATCATACGCCCTGCATCCCGTATGTAATTCATTCACTTTGAGAAGCTGTCAGCTCAGAGTTGAAGGTTTCCAGACAACTTTGGATTGTCCTGTGTTTCTGCTGAGCCTCACAGACACTGGATTGATACTTTGACTTTTCAGTTTGGGATGATTCAGGTCGGTTTAAGCTATAAACTGTATTCAAGCGGTGTTTGTTGTAAAATGAACATTTCAGTGAAAGGGAAACCAGCGTGAGATATAATATTTACGTTGATAGTCTTTCACAGTCTTGGAGTGATGCGTTTAGGGCAGCCTCAGATAAAAGAGTGCTGTATTTCACACAGAGCTGTTCAGAGAGCCTCATACAGGAGAGCATGTAAAACATATGAGGACTTTAACACTAGTATTAGTGGACATATCGTAGCTATCATTTTTTTTATTACCATTCATTATTGTTAAAACAAAAAAGTCTGCAGCTTCACTTTGACTTATTTGGATGAGCAAACTAATTACAAATACTCTCATAATGAGCTCATATCCACCATACAAGGTAACCCCCAAACTGCTGGGCTTGCGCCGCAAAAATCTTCCGGATTGTTTTTAACCTAAATGTTTTGTTTGATTTCAAGAGATTCTTGACTAAATTATTGAATTCAATACTAATAGGACAAGTTTTTACTTGCTATTCTGGTTAAATTCATTGTTATATTAATCGGTTAATAAAAAATAATCATTAGAATAATCGATAGATTAGTTGACTAATCGAAAAAATAATCGATAGATTAATCAATAGGAAAATAATCGTTAGGTGCAGCCCTACATTTTACTGCATCTCAAAATGTTTTGATGTTGAAACCTAGTGTTTTTTTACTCAGCTGTCTGTTACATATCTATCCTATTCTTCTAGTACACACAATGACTTTTAAAACCATGTGCGAGTTTGTTAAGCCCACCAGTCAGTTGTAGACCAGATTAGCTGTATTAGCAGCTCACTCTGCATGGGGTGAGAACATCGACTTGACCTCCAGCTGGGGGGACTGGGTCTCATGTTGTGCTCTGTTTGGGTTGTCTGGATTACGGCTCTTGACTTTTTGGTTGTTGTGTAACCACATCATAGTTTGTTGGTGACGGCTCCGACTGAGCTTGGTTTTACTCGGTTTATGATTAGTCATTATGAAGACATTATTTCAAAGCAAGTTCACCAGTATGTCAGTCATACTGCAGGTGAAATCAATAGATATGTTGGGCTATTGCTTATTTTGCAAGTTATTAATTTTCTCCACTCCTATCATGAAGCACAGACAGTATAGATTAGTGTTTGCCTCTGCCTCTCACACAAAGAAACAGTGTGCCGTCTCAGTGCCATGCTGTGTCTGTCTGGCCAGTTTAATGCGTGCTGCCAGGTTGCTGCTGGCCTTGGGCATCATCATCGTCATCATCATCAACTGGCGTACGCGGTAGAACAGGCTGCTTTGCATTTTACACACCGTCATGACACAGGTTGTCACATGTACCTCAGCACTTAGTTTGGTGCTCTTTTCAGTCAGTGGTGCTTTTTTTCCTCTGTAGCAGTGTGCCTGTATTGGTCAGATACATACATTTTAGAGCATACACATGAATATTTCAACACAGACGCTTAATGCTACTTAAAGAATGATGACTGATGTGGCCTGATTTATACATTTATGGATACATTTTTCATTTGCAGCAGAGCAGTGAAGCTAAAACCGTGCAGGCAGCTCTTTGTTAGAACAGCTGGAACAGAAAAGGGTGGAGACAGGAAGGAGCAGGGGAGGAGTCAGGAAAGTGGGATGTGAGGGGATGAATGATGTAGTTTGTGAAGGAGAAAAAGATAGAGTGGGATGGCCAGACAAAGGCCAATGCTCCCACCCACTGGCAACCCAAAATAAAAATGTCAACAGTGAGATGACCATCACAAGTTAACACACTGCTTCATCATAAGACATGACAAGTGTTTTACAGTCTACCTCTTTTCACACTATGTTTAAAGGCATGTGATATACGGCAGCTTTGAGAAGAACAGATTTATTTTAAACAGTATGTGGTATTCTTCAGTAATGAAAATAAAGTGAATGTAGCTCAGTGGTTCTCAAGTCCAGTCCTCAAGCCCCCCACTGTCCTGCATGTTTTGGATGTTTCCCTGCTCCAACACACCTGATTCAAATGATCAGCTCGTTAATAAGCCATTACAGAGCTTGATAACGAGCTGATCATTTGAATCAGGTGGCTTGAGGACTGCATTTGAGAACCACTGTTGTAGGTGGAAGACAAAAAAGAAGAGAGTAGTTTACCTTTTATTCATAAGATTTTGTATTGATGGATTAGTATAAGCTTGACAAATGGACTTGGCATGCATCATAGGAGCTTCTTTTCCCCGAGGGCCACTGTTGCTTCTGGATTTTCACCGATGGGAGGGGTGACTGGGGAGTGTTTTTAATTTATTGCTGGATTTCCCAAAGGTGTTAGATGGGTTGTCTGTATTATGGCTGTATAATTGACCTCAGTTTGTTGTTATCCCATTAGGAGTATGAGTATCAGTATCTAACAGGCAACTACTCCTATGAGCCTTCTCAACAAACATGGTATCATGAATAAAGCAGTTGTATCAAACATGTTATCATGACATAAACATTTGCAACAAACATGTTATTCTGATTCAGGCAGCTGCAAAAACATGGAAACAGACTTTCCTTATTTCTTCTTATATCGTACAAACCTTTATATGACTGACCCCAAATACCTGTTTAAGGAAAGATGAAAGTGAAAAATGTTTTTTTATGAGTGCTTCTGCTTTATCTCCTCATTGCATCAGTATCTCATAACACACTGCTTTCTCTAACAGCAAGATGAGACTTGTGTTTGGTTGGTTCCACGCTATTTGTGTCCCTGACCTTGCAGAGTCAGTTTCACTGTTTGTCAAAGATTGGAGGGACCACCGGCTTGTTTTTCTTATTTTTGTTTTTATTATGTCAAGCATGTGTTAACCAGTCTGCAACGTTTTCTCTGTCTGGGTCAGATTAAATCTTTTCTTTGATCTATCGGTTCCCCCTGTGCGGCTAATGTTTTGTTGTTTGGAAGAGCCCTGCAGGTTCGGCCGAATCGCATGAATGAACCTTGTAGTTTGTTTAATCTGCACATGCATCTGAATGGTCCTTTTAGGCACGACAATAACAAACAAACATGGTCACAAAAAAAAATAACAGAGGTCCAGATAAAAGCTCTTTTCAGGGATGGATCAATATCTATTGGTAGCAGTTCCCCCTCAGGCAGTAACTCTATACATGTCAAGGACGGAGGAGGACATCTGGCTGAGCTGCAGACACCACCATTAGGCATCAGAGGGCTGCAAACTTCCAGACTACTACTTCTCCATTCATTTGCACACTGCTATTTTTCAGGGGGTTCTGCAGCTGTCACATCAATAAGCATGAATGAAAGTAAAACTGCCACAAAGCTCTTATAGCTTTACATGTGGAAGTTGGAGTGGATGAATATACACAACAGATTTCAAAATGTCGAAACCACCGACTGCAACTCCTGTTTTGACCCTGCATGTGAATCTAAACTTCCCTAACACTACAGAAAATCAATATTAATGCCACAACAAGCCTTGCTAGAGAAGACTTAGTGCAGGGCTGTTGAATGAAATTACACAACATTTCCCAGGAGCACTTTCTTAACTATAAAAAGCATACTGTACAGTCAGATAAATTCAGACTCTGACTGTGCACATCGCAACAGTGCACAGAAAACTCAAAATAGAAGGTTAAATAAACTGTCAACTTATTAAGCATTTATGCCTGGGTGTATCTTTCTGCCACTTCTGTAAGGATCACTCTCACAAATAGGCCTCAGAATCTGTCGAGATGGATTTTCTTGTGGTCCAATTTTGAGGCCACATTTGGTGGCAAATAGACAAGTAGACAAATAGTTCAAATTTTGAGTTGGGTTTTGCCCTAAAAAGTTCAAACTTTTGATAACAAACACAAGAAGTCATGAATCCGTACAGAAAAGTTTAACGTGTTCAGATTAAGTTAGTGCGAATAATAGTGCCTGCATACATGTGCATCTTGGTTCAGATACATGTGCAAAAAGATTGTGCCTTTATGTTGTACGATACATGCAACAGCCCACAATGTTCTGCATCCAGTGTGCTGTTGGTAAATGTATTACTGTTACAGCCAGAAGTACCACTAATGCTTCTGTTGTTAGCTTACCTTAACCAGGGCAATCAGCGTCTCGGCATCAATGTATGCGTGGATTATACTACTGCCGACAGTAGGTCAGATTAGGACTTGTTGACCCTGCGACGTACTATTCAGAGATTAGATTAGCTCTATTTGTATGTAAAGGGTTGTGATTAATAGGGAGAGTCTGCGGTGCTTAAATATCCTGATCAGATCCCGGGTTCTTGCTCAGCAGGGGCTCAGGTGCTGGCCTCTTGCTGAACCTGAAGTGTTCTTTTTCATTGGATAATTTTTCCTCTAGTAACTCAGGGACATTGGTCTTTGATTAGATGTACATAGGTGATTCTATTCTTACTTGACCTGCTCTTGTTTAATACTACTTCAAAGTCAAGCAGTTAGAGACATTGGATTTAATATGAACAAATCGACTAAAGACAGGCCTTATGTACTCACCATGATCACAGCATTAGTTATCCTGGTGGCCGACCCAAAACAAAGGGTTTAGACTTGTGTGAGGCTGACTTGTTGGCTGTAAATGCACAGGGCTCCCCCTGGGTGAGTCCCCAAGGCTCAGCAGATACCATTCTGCGTGCTCCAGGGCCGCAAATCCTCTTTGCATGGCCGGTGATCAAGCCATGATGTAAAGGAGCTTAGTAGCAATAGACAGGCAGGCAGGAAGGAAGCTGTTTCCCTGTTGGCCAGGAGTCAGGTGATCAAAAGCACATACACAGCACCGACAGGAGAGAGAGAGAGAGAGAGAGAGAGAGAGAGAGAGAGAGAGAGAGAGAGCAGGGAAGAGGTAGAAAAACAAGGAGAGAAATGGACGCGTACAGGTTTATGAATGACAACACCAGAGGGAGTTTGGGAAGAGGAATCAGCAGAGATGAGTCAGAGGTTTTTCTAAAGATCGATTGGTTGTAATCCAGGTGAAAACGCAAGTTTGGCCTACTGTAGCTCAAACCAGTACAGTCTGCCTGTAAGCATGCTGTACGTACAGGTCTGTGTTGACAGCAGCGGGATAATGTGCTTTAATTGGGTACTTTAAAGTTGAAGAGGACCAAGGTAAGAGAAGAATCTGTTTTGAATATAGTCCCAAACAAAGCAGCCAAGGATTTTTTTAACTACTCCAATCACAGAGAGTGTGATCCAACATGGAAGCTCCTTTTTTTTATCTCACCCTTCTCTGCATCTCTCTTGTTCTTCTCTACAGGTCACTTTCCTCCCTCCCTCCCCCTCCTCCCCTTCCACCTGTCACAGTGCTGGTTGCCATGGAGAACTCCTCGGTGGCGTCTGCATCCTCTGAGGCTGGGAGCACACGCTCGCAGGAGATAGAGGAGCTGGAGCGCTTCATTGACAGCTATGTGCTGGAGTACCAGGTGCAGGGGCTGCTGGGAGATAAAGCAGACGGAGAGCTGGAGTTGGACAACAGTGGCAAGGTGCCGCAGGTTAGACTCTTATTTGGTAAAAAGTTATAGCTATGTTTGAAGCAGTTTCTGGTTTGTATTTTTCTAAATACACTGGATTTGAAGGAACAGCTCAGTTGTATTGTGTTTGTATCTGGACAGTTATTGGAGCACATTCATTGACACTGCAGCTGCAGAAGCTTCCAGTTATTGACTGTTTTTTTTGTGTGTTTTTGATGCACGGATATACCGCCACTCAAAAATGAAAGCACCATTTCTTCATTTCTCTCCTTCAGTGGACTGATGACTGTAACAACAAGAAAGATGGCAGCTGGACATCTTCAAGAGGAAGAGGCTCATTCAAGCCAGTAAGTGTGTTTCAACACTTCGCCAAGTCAACAGAAGTACATCACTGAATTAAAGCTTGAAGTATTGTGTTTTTGAAAATAGGGGTGTCCCGATATGATATTGATATTGGGTATCGATGCGATATCAGCAAAAAAACGAATATCAGATTATACCTCCGATAACAGCACTCTGATACAAGCAGTCCATTCCAGACTCCGCTCCGGCACCTATATCTAGCAGCGCCCTGATCTAGCAAGCTGAGCCCACAAAATCACATCAACGGTGTGTACGAGGATACGAATAAAGTAGCAAGGAGTAAGAGTGATGTTGGCCTTGTGGCAGTATTTTTAAGTCCGAAAAAGACATTGCAGCTAAATGAAAAACTTGTCATGCACAGTTTTGTGCCTGTATCGCTATCGGTCAATATTGAAGGCTACAATATCGGTATTGTATCGGGACACCCCAAGTTGAAAAGGCAGAGAGAATTCTGAGAACAACAGTGTTCCTTAACAGATATTTATGAAAACTTGCAGTGTTTACTGCTAATTTTACAAACATAGCTAATGAGCAGGTTGTTAATGTCATCAGACAGTGGTTTAGCTATAGTTTGTAGTGTTAGTCCCTGGGCTACACGGTCTTTTGCTTTATTACATGTTTCTATCTTTTGTTGTTTTTTTTTTTTTAAATGAAGTTGGATTTAGATTATGGTTTACAATCCTTTGAGGCAGAGATGATGAGGTTTTCTGCCTTTCTCTGTCCTTCTCATGTTGTTTTCTTTTAATCTTGAATCTTTCCAACCTGATTTACTTTACCATGTGTTGCTGCAATTTCTGCTGCTCCACCCTGACCATCCTTTGAGTTGGCATCTGTCTCCTCACTTTAATCCTTTCTTTAACTTTCTGAGGAAAAAAACCTCCACTGCATTGACCCAACATTGATGAAACAGGACAGCAGATTAGAAAATAATGCCTTACTGTGCAGAATTATAGAATTGAAACCTCTACTGTAACATATATATTACATCAGCAACTATTAGATACACTGTACATGTGGTGAATCAGCACAAATGCCCAAATTCCTGAGGCACTAAGGCTAGCTTTTTTTTTTCCTTTCATGTCTTTGTTTATGAAGTTCCTTCTGATGTTCACAAACCAAAGTCTGACTCAAATGCCTGACCCTGAAGCTGCTTCTACCAGCTAGCCTTGATTCAGAGGGTGCGCTGGCTTTTACTAGTGTTTCCAAAGGTGGTGATCGATGCTGGTCACCTAAAACTACAAGACTAGGCAGGCCTAGATCTAACCTGCACAGGCGTGTGTTTACCCTCCACTTCAGCCTCGTCTTCCTCTTTGCTCATCTGCCATCACTGAAGCATTTCATTAACTTTAGCTTAAATGTTCTGCTCAGAGCTCTGTTGATTTGGGCTGCACTCTTCCTCTCCATTAGGTGTTTATTTGAATGATTATGAGAGTGTAACATAGGCATAAAGCGGTGCATGGCTCGTTTGCTTGCTTTCTTGCTTGCTTGCTTGCTTGCGGTTGATGCAGAGCAATGTTACACCTACATCAGTTTGGTTCCGCACACAAATATTTGCGTTGACATTGTCAGATGTAGGGAAAGTAGCCAAAATAATAAATCATTATTGGCATCCTTTTGTTGAGGTACCAAGCGTGCCAATCCCTTTAGGGTGGAGCTCAAACATTACAATCTATTGACTAAAAGAGGAGGAGTAGGGAAGATCGTGCTGGATTATATCTCTACTAGCTCGATGTTTTTTGATCTGTAGAATAGATATGCATGAATTCAGGTTTAGTCTTATCAGGAAACAATCTGCTGGGTGCCTATTCAAACTCAGACACCAGCTGAGCAGTGGGAAAGTAGAGGAAGAGATCACACTGGAAGAAATATTTCCTAAAACCTGATGTTATGGAGTTATTTGGTTATTAACATAGCTAACCTGCAGCCAGTGTGATTTTTTTAGACTCCAACAAAGGATAAAGAACTGAACAACTGTCTTGCATTTTGTAAAAAAAAAAAAAAACAGTTCCTTTTTCCCACATTAGGATTAGGCTTTTGCTTTGCAAAGCATCCTGGGTATGCACCCATGCTTTGCTTTCATGCTTATGACATAATCATTGCTGATTCAAAGCCTACATAGCCCTCAACTGATCATTTTGTTCTGTTTTAGAGCTCTATGCATGGCTCATGGAAAAACATTGGCCAGCTTTCTATTCTCTGGATTTTCGGTGCATGAGACAGACATGAGATTTGCTGTCTAGTGTACAGGCCTACAGAGTGACTGGTCAGATCTGTTATTTAGGATTAGGATGCATGCCGAAATGGAATTATGCAGCCATCATTTCCTGTCTGAAGTGCCCAACAGTACAGTTGGCTGTGGAAACACAAGGAAGGCACACCAGAAGTGAATTGTACTTAATGAGAAGTGTTCTGAAGTCAGAAACTGAATAATCTTAAATAAATTATCAGTCAGTCTGCCAAACACCTGTGCGTGTGTGTATCTGCGGTGCTGTGCCATGTTAGGACTCTTCAGTCTGCAATGAGTGTTATTGCTCCCCGGAGTTTCAGTGGTATGATTCATCAGGAAGTGAGTGGTGAGGGAGAAATAGCAGGGATACAGAGCAAAGTGATAAAGATATAAAGGAGATGGAAAGAGAGAGAGAAGGGAGGGGGGGACTAAATGTAGTTCATCAAATTGGATCATTTTAACCACAATATTTGACACAACTGAATCTAACATGGCAAAAATGAGAGCCATCGTCGCTGCTCCACAGACATTGGTCTAACTACTTCGAGTACTTGTAGAGGGCCGAGTGTAGAGTGCTCTGTGATAAGCAACAGAGTACAATGCAGTCTGTTGTTACACTCCTTACATGCAAAATTTCAGCCTTGTTCCTCATCCTCTCATGTTCCTACAGGACGAGTGGGAGCACAGCAGTAACGGCAGCACAGGTTCCAGGCCCAGTTCAGGATCCAGACCAGGATCAGGTTCCCGCTCTGGCAGCAGAGGCAGAAACAACCAGTTCAAATGCCCAGCTAAGGTACAAATACAACCGTGTGTTTGTTTGCATCTATTCTCACCTCTGTATGATATTAAAGGAATTTTTGATAGGAACTCTGAGGGATTTATACTGTGACTACATCATGAACAATGTGGGCATCTTAGGAAATGTTCCTCTACTTGGAACTTGACAAGAGATGCTCACCTTATACACTTCTTTTTTCATCACTGTCTTTTTCATTTGATGATACTCAGTAAGTACACTATGAAGCTGAGCGAGGTTCCTGTTTCAATAGTTTTGTAATCATGTGATGGTTTTGAGGGGACTTTTTGTAGTTGTGCTGAAAATTTCTGTCTTGGTTTTTTCTTTTTTGCCCAGAACGGAAACAGAGATGGCTCTTTTGACATCCTTGGGACAGATATATGGGCCGCAAATACAATGGACTCACACGGGTAGGTGCCTTTTAATTCCACAAATTAAAAGCTCCTGTGAGGATTTTTTTCTGTCTCATGCAATGAACTGAAATGACTGCCTGACTGTTGGATATTTTCCAAATTTTAAGACACATTAAGGGACACAGAATGACATTCAGTCTGCTAAAAATGAGGTCCAACCATAATTTCTTGAGCGCTGCTTTGAAACACATCCTTATTTTTTTATTTTTGCTATTGCTGACTTCAGTATGACTTTGCTCATATTAGCCACAATCATATGACACTGATTTTATCCTGACGTGTCAGAGACAGTATTTTCCTACTTTTTCATTACGGTCCAGATTTCTTTTTGTTTTTGATGTTGGTATCTAAAGAAAAAATATGAGAATGATAAACCTTCAGAAATCTGGTTGAGTGAACTCTGTCCTCTCATTGCACACCGACTCTTAGGGGTTAAGACGCTTCCTACTAAAGCCCTGGGGCCTCATTTATCAACCGTGCGTATGTGTGCGTAATGAGTGCGTACGAACATTCCCACGCGAAGTCTGGAATTTATCAACCTGTACTTGTGCTTAGGAACATGCGTAAATTTAAGCACAACTCTGACCATGCGTACACACAAAACCTAGTGGTAGGACAGTGAAACTACAAACTGAACCCATTACAGGAGTCACAGCGTTCCGCAATCTCAAACTTCACACGTTCTCTGTTGCCTCTGTACAAAATTTATCAATTAGTAATTTAGCAGACATTTTGAAAGATTGGTGAGACAAGCTATAAAAATCAGCTGTGACAGGACAACCTCAAAAGAAGTCTTACAAGTACAAATACAAGTATCATGGTTTATTTTGCGCTATTTGAGGACTTGGAGAACCGTGCTGATCTGTTCAGTGAGAACAGCAGCATTCTCAGCAGGTACCGCTTCCCCCAAAACATTTTGATGGATTTATGCCGCGATTTACTACCCGTGTTGGAGCGAGAGACAAAACGCACCAAAGCCATCCCAGTGCACATCCAGCTCCTGTCCACCCTAACCGGAACATTTCAGCGTGAGATTGGAGACATATGCGATATTTCGCTGCCAACGCTAAACAGAATCATACCGGCAGAGTTGGATGTAATAATTTCTCTGGCCTCAATTTACATCTAGTTCCCAAACGCAAAAATAAAATGGGGATTTCACGCCATCGCCGTATTCCCAAACATAATTGGAGCCATAGATTGCACCCACATCATAATAAAAGCACCTTTACACAGTGAATTCAGATTCGTCAACAGGAAAAGATTTCATTCAATCAATGCACAAATAATCTGTGATGCACATTTGTTTCTGTTTAACGTTGTTGTCTGGAGAAACGCACGACTCTATCAGCTCTGTGAGTGTGCACCTCCATGATTTCGTGATTCTGTTGATGCCATATATGGTCAATTGAAGGCGTTCCTGAATGCAAATGACCCTAACCACGCACGAGCATGGTAGTAAAGAACAGGTGGGATTTATCATCACCGATTAGTTATTGGTGTGGGTACGACTGGTGTCTGGCTGTTTGATAAATACAGATTTTTTTTGTACATACGCACATTCTTAATTTCATTCCTACGCCAGAATTTAGAACCTTTTCTACTCACGGTTGATAAATGAGGCCCCTGGTGCTTGAACATCCTGTTAACCAGGTGAGATGTGTGCGGGAAATCTTTCTCAACTCCTGTTTGACTACATGATCTTTCAGACAAGAGCTAGACATGAACCTCTGAAAATAGAAAAAGAAAGAAAATGAGCAAGACATAAATCAGTTACAGTGGAGGGAGGATCTGGTTGCCACGGTAACAGCTGTGCAGCAGCTTCAGCTATCTAAGATCCGGCCACGTTGGCACATCTGAGCACACAGTGAAGGAGCCGGCACAGTGGGATGATGTAAGCAGCCCCCCCTCCATGCAGTCTGAGATGAACTGTAGCACATATTAAATTTAGATAATGGTGTCTCAGTTTGTGCTCTTCTTACCTGTTGAAGGAGCCCAGTTAAAAATAGTCAAACCAGTTGTTTGAGTTAATTTATATTTAAAACAAAAATAATGACAAGGTCTTGAGCGATCTACTTAGGTTGTCAAGGCACCAAAAATTCGCAATTAACATGTATTGATATGTTTTAAAGACACTTATTCGACATTTTGGCCTTTATAGACAGGACAGCTGCCGAGAGACAGGAAATCTGAGAGAAGGTGAAAGCTGTTGCGGTCGATGTGTCAAGGATGTGTTTAGGGGTTACTTTCTCTACAGACTGAGCTAAACTGGTTCCCTAAAATGATCTTTTTTTAAACTTGGACTCTTGCTTTGACAAAGAGTTCCTCTTGCCTTCAATTTGACAACAGCCCAGTCATGACTATTTAATATGACTATTTTTGAACTGCCCTGTAGAATTGCCTGGTCATTCTTTGTGTGTGTTTATGGATGCTGGATGTATGTTATCTAAATATATATCTCTTGCTTTGCAGAGGTGCAGGCTGGGATGTGCAGCCAGAGAAACTCGACTTCAGCCACTTCCACAGGAAACACTTCAGGGGAACGCCAAAGCACCTGCCTCACATTGACAGAGAGGGGTAAGGTCACGATGCTAGCTTTGTACTAAAATTCTGCTGTATTTACCTTACTACTCTTTTTTGATTACATTCTGTATACTTATTTTCATCCTTGGGATTAGCACTTATAGTTGTTTTAAATCCTGTTGGTTACAATTCTCTAAATGGAACATCTATTTGTGGATTTTCCTCTTGCAGAATGAACAAAAACAAGTATGAGGAGGATGACGGCATAGACATGAATGACATCGAGAGGTTTCTACCTAGTCTGCGTTCTGTAAGTCGAGCTTTTTTTCCTCAGTCGAAGGTGTTCTCAGTGAGTTTCTGTAATGTCTTAAATGAAAACGTCTGATCTGCAGAGGCACTCATTGTAATTGTGTTGATCTGTTCAGTGAGAGGAAACCTCTCACCAAAGCCAAACAATATATTAGTTGTAAAAGAGGGCCCTCCGCTGGTGAAATGGAAACATAACAACAGAGCAGAGGCGCTTCACTTACTACCACAGAAAAAAAAATTCAACTTAAAGTGCTACATGAAAGTGGAGCATGGTTATCTTTTCTGCTGAATTGAGAAAATTCTCCAGGAGGTTTTTCTCAGAAAGATACAACTCACATGAGATCAGTCAGTATGGACCATGTAAACTCTATGAGCAAGATTGGCCCACCATAAATTATCCTCTGCTGACACCTGGTGGTGAAATGCTGCAATAAGTTGTATGAGGCATGAGAAGCGCACAAGATGTTACTCTGACCCCTGGTGGTGTGACTGATGTATAGCAATTCTGAACAAGCCAATCGTGTCGACAGAGCAGCGCTGTGGGCCTCTCTGTTTCTGTTTTGAACTTCTTTAATACCTTTGTTGCTCACTTTGAAGGATATCTACCCATACATATCTAAAAACTGTATGCTTTTATATGTACAGGAGAACCCGTGGTTAAGATATTGATATTATGTGCGAGTCAAAGTTTGCCAAAAAAGTGTATATTTGTAGTACAAAATCAACTATTTCTTTCTCCACTCTCTGATAAACTGATGTTGATTTACCTCGATGTAATATAAACAAATAATCTGTCTGATCACAGAGACTTTAAAAGTCTGATCGAAGTTGCCAAGTGATTCTCAAAATGACGTTACTCTTGGATTTTTCTCTGAGCTTCCTTACAATACTTTTGTTTCCCTCTCTTTCTGAATGTGACATGCCCGCCTTCAAATCAGTGAAACAAAGAATGTAGAATTGGTTTTACAGCTGTTTTATGCCTCTGCAGGCAGCACAGCATTGTGTTTTCAAGGTGATCTGTTATTCACTAGAGTGGCAGAGTTCAGTCCAGTTCACCAGTGTCACCCACGTCTCTTCCTCCTCTGGGCCACAATGTCTTCCATCTCTCTCATCGTTCGAGCCACAGCGTCTTCCTCTTTCCTTCCTTTCTTGGCGGCCGAGCGAAACTGCGCTTCTACTCTCATACTGTTTTAGACGGCCTAGTAGTGCTACCAAGATGGTTCAGTTATTGTATAGTTTCTGAGCCAAGATTTTCAATTTCCGTTTATTCAGTCAAGGCCAGAAAAAAAGATGGGGTCAGCTGAGTTTGTCTGGTGGCCTTAGGATCGGATGTGTGTGGGCATGGAGACACAGCACGTTCAGAGTCACGGTGTTTGCCACGATTCCTGTCACTCACATTCCTTAGCCTTCCTCTCATTTTACATCCACATGTATTTTTAGTTTTTTTTTTTTTTTTGTTCTGCTCGTGCTGGATGTTATGCCCTGACATCTTTATTTATACCCCAAACTTTGCTTGTGGATTTTGGCAGCAGTGGTTTCAGGCCAGCCACTGATATGTCAATTCTTGTTCTGATTGTCAACACTCTGCTGAAACTTCCCTCCTTTAGTCCAGAATTGTACCCAAAACAACTGGAGGGGCACATAGGAATCTTTTTTTAAACTTCTGAGTTTGTTCCAAAAAACTAGACCGTTTTGAAACACTTCCATCAAAGTCAATGCAAACTTCATTTGAACTTGAGTGTTTTGCAATCAAGTTTATGGACAAACAGAAAAAACTTCCTCTCACTCTGCTGCTTCGAATTACTGTGCAAATCCCTCAAATAACACACCAAATATGTGCATGCATTTGGCTGGTTGTGAGCCAAAATACTCCGTCATCAAACACTGCCAATGCAAACTCACTCAATTCTTGGTTCAACAAAAAACAGCTATTAATGATGTAATAATTAGAGCAAAATCAGAGCTGATTTATAATTGAAATTGTTGACCTAGTAGTTTAAGCATGCATTCTATGTGCTGGAGTCCTACTATAGTCCTTGCAGCATCAGTTGCTGGTTCAACTCCCCAGCCACGATCCTTTGCTGCACATCAGCCCACACTCTCTACCTTCCACACTTTCTGTCTTTCCATATCTGTCCTACTAAAAAAATGCAAAAGTGCCAGAAAAAGAACCCAAACAAAAAAGTTAAAAGTAGCGACAGGTTTGAGCCTCACAGTTGTTGTGCCGAGCTCCCTCCTTTTAGAAACAACAATGCAAGAAGAGAGGGAGAGAGATAGAGAGAGAGAGATGTGGCTTATTTCTGATAAATGTTCAGGACTACCAGGTCTAAGCTTGTTGATGCTAGTTGAGTTTGTTCAGAGTCACGGTGGTTGGTTAGTCACATGCAGACAAAAGTCTGACGGATGTTTGATTCAGCTTTGCCTGCGTGGTGAGTTTAAAATAAAAAAATCTACAAAAGGAGCGTTGTTTACAGACCCAGAGAAGATGTCAGACTTCATTTAGTTTTAAATAACTGAGATATGCGACTGTTACTTTAAGTGTTTATCATAAAAATATCCCATATTTATACTTACATAAACAACAGCATGCCATTTTCTCGAGTCATCACATCCCGCTGAATGTGCGGGCTTCATCCTCCCGAGTCCCTGTCTGCTTTCCACACTTGGTGCCAACAGTTGCTTCCTCTTTCCAGCAGCCAGAATAGACTTACAAATATCCCCAGGACATGGAAAGCATCTCCTTTGTGTGTAGGTGTGTGTGCGTACCGGGGGACTTCCTACCTTTGCCCTCAGATTCTGTTGCACCCTCACCGGCCCTCGAATATCAACCTGCTTCATATGACTGTGATCACGTTCAGTGTCAGGTTGTACATGTGAGGCATTCCGGGTTCAGGGAGCATGTGATTGATCTAGGGACTGATTGATCGCAAGAATTTTTTTATAAGAAGAAGACATGAACAGGGAAGTGCAGAAATTTACAATTTTATAGGTTATTTATGATATAGAGGTTTCATTTTTTAACCACCTAGTGTTAGCAAGGGATTAACGCGAAATAAACATGTCAAACAAAGACACAGTTTCACTCAGGATGTGTTATCACTGATGTTAACCTAAAAATCGTCTCTGATTGTGAAGTAAAACCGAGTGAACAGGTCCCCGTGAAACAGCGCAACACCTGATAAATGTTTCTCCCACGGCGCTTGCAGTCTGTGACATCATACTCGGTTCACTTCATACACCATCTTCTGTAGCCCACAGTTTCTGTGACCTCTCTGACCTTTTCTCGGCTGTTTCTGTCTCTTTCGGTTTTTCCTCACTGTAATCATAACTGTATCGAAGTTCTCCCCGTGCGTTGCTTTCATTATCAGTAGTTCGCTGGAGTCTGTGGTCAGAGCGAAACCCCAGGGCGACAGTCAGTTCTCGGTGACAAAGGTCTGCTTCCCTTTGAGAATAACAAACATTTGCACTGATTCGTTTCTATGTAATGGCCAATCAGGATCAAGAACATAACACAGTTGTAAAAGTTAACTCAAGCCTGAGGTGTGATACTATACTACCTAACAAGTCCAGTCTAATTCATCTGGCTGTTTAAGAATATAAATTGTGGAACATCATTTTGTAAAGATTCATATTCCATCATCAAACTGCAGCTTTTCTCTGTCTGCTACTTTAACAAATATATTTATTTTTTGAAGCGATTAAAGAAATAAGAAGCAAAGCCTCACCAGGGAGCTGTTATCAATATTTTGAGTTTAATCTTTTAAAAGTAACTCTAAGAGCTTAAGGATTGTTAAATAACCTGTTTGTAATGGGAAAAGGTTTCTACATAGTTTAAATCGTTCTGCGTTTCTTTCGAAAAGGCCTGAAAAACTCGATGATTGTTTTCCAAAAGTACAGGATTTAAACTGGCATACTCTACAGACGTTTCCCCCTTGGCACAGATATTTCTTCCCTGTAACCATTACCACCTTCATGACACATACTGTACTCCAACATGGACACTCAATCCCACTCACATGCTGTTTGGCTCATCAACACGATCATGTCAGCATGATCCTCCGTGTTGTGACAGACACATCTCGTGGGCATGTGTGGGTGTGTGTGGGCCTTCTCAACACTCCTACTGTATCTCAAATAATTCCAGCAGGCTCTCGCTTTTCCGCACACCAATGGCTTTCAGTGAGTAATTATGTGTGGAAGACATGTCATCTATTTTTATGGAAATATCTAGATCGTGCTTGTGACTAATATGTTACCAGATAATGATTCACAAACATCTTTCTTGACCTATTTTGATTTTTAGAAAAAATGTACTCAGTCGTAAAACTCAAACCTGTGGGAGGTTTCTCTTCTAAAACGGAGTGGGTGCTTCTGTTTCAGTACAACATGTGTGACTGTTTTGACCTAATGTTCTTCCCTATGATGTAATGTGTTGGCAGCCGAGCTTATGTCAACTTAGTTTTATAAGGAGTCCAGGTAGTTGTGATTAGGGTCAGACTCAGCTTTGTTATACCTGAAAAAAGCATTATAACCAGTGTAGTACGTTACAGTGTTTCTTTAACCTTTTAAAGGAACAGTGAATATGAGGGTGGTCAGTCAGCTGGTAAACTTGGATCAGCATAAAGAATGGGAGCAGAAGAACCAGAGAAGTCTGACTCTGTCAAAATGTAAAAGATATCAGTTTGCACAAGTGATGAAATGGATCACAGATGATCCGTAATCTGCACATATCGCCCCCTGTGGCTCAGATCACATGTGATCCTGAGGAGTCTCAGTGCCTTTAGTGTTTATTAGATGCCATGAGGATCAAATGAAGACGGCCTTTTTAACACACTGAAAAAAAAGCATCTTAAAGTGGTATTTCATTGATTATGTTGACTTTGTCTCAAACAGTGATTTGACTTTTCTTCTACTCTGTGTGTGTTTTTTTTTTTAAGTATCACTTGGTGGTTGTGTCTGACAACCAAAGACTGTGGAAAACACTGACTGGCTACAGTAAAAGTCTTAATATTATCCATTATAAGAGATGAAACATGCATAAATATAAATAAAAAATATAAATACACGTAAAGTCACATTTTTCTCTGGCACAGTTCACTTGTATGTATTCATGTATAAGTAAAAAGTTTGCTTTCGATTGGCCTCATGAGCTCAGATATCAGCCGCTGACACCCATTTCAAAATGCCTTTAATTATCCCTGGCTGATTAATCAGCTTGACTAATTAATTGGTTGATCTCTATCTCTCTATGGTGTCATGACTGACCGCTCTGTGGACAAATACAGACGTCTGAGATATTTCCCATTAGCAAGTTGGAGACAAAAATCTCTGAGGAGACTTCGCCAACACTAACACAGAAGTCACAGAACTTTCTAAAACCACAAGTGTCTACTTCAGGTTAACTCTGTTATGCAGTGAGCTGTGCAAACCTTGGTGATCTTGTTTAGGGGTATCCTGATGGGATATTGACATCGGATATCGGTCCGATATCAGCAAAAAAACGAATATCGGATTATATCAGCCTGCATCTAAAATCTCCGATATCAGGACTCCGTTTCAAGCAGTCCATTCCAGACTCCGCTTCGGCACCTCTATCTAGCAGCGCCCTGGTCCAGCAAACTGAGCCCACAAAATCACAACAGGAGTACTAAGGTATGAGCAAAGTAGCGAGGAGTAAGAGTGGTGTCGGCCTTGTGGCAGTATTTTTTTAAAGTCTGAAAAAGACGTTGCAACTGAATGAAAAACTTGTCATGCACAATCGAATCAAATATCGGTATCGGTCAATATTGAAAGCTAAAATATCGGTATCGTATCAGAAGTCAAAAAGTTGTATCGGGACATCCCTAATCTTGTTGGTTTTATTTGTTGAACAGGTTACAATGTAGGCCCTACACCTCCACTAGCCAGACTCACTCCTATGCGTGCATTGTTACCATCTGCACATTATGTCAGCGCCCATCAAGGCAGTATTATGGCTTCACTTCTCACAGTAGGAAGAGGATGGAGCCTCGATGTCCACATTAATTTATATAGTGTAAATGTTGACAACTGGCAGTCGCCTAATGTTAGCGACATTATTCTGCGGTCTGTACATGTAAACTTGGCTTTGTTACATAAACTCAGGTATACAACTGAGTTTAGTCTGACAATCATAAAGCATGCTCACTATTGTTCAGGCTAATACACACAACAGAAGCAGCAAGAGCAGACAGTGCAAAGACACACACAGACACACACCTGCTGAATATATGTTCGACACTGTCAAAGCCCATGATGAATTGGTGTGTTTTAGATTACAGCATATGACTGTCGTTATTCACAGAAGGGTTTTTGATGTGTTTGAAATGAGGTTACAAATACTGCAATCGGAATGATAGAGCGCTGACGTTCTTAAAAGCATTTTTTTGAATAATAGATTTTCTGAATGTTTTTGCTTTTACTTGGAGTTATTTCGGTGTGTGAAGGAAATGAGGACCCTCGTCATCTTCCCCTGTTTTCTGTCAGAGGTTTAGTTGGTGTTGCCTAGCTGTGGCTTTGTACACTACTCTCAAAACGAAATCAAAAAAGTTTACTCCTAAAAGGTCAAAATAGCCCCCCACAGGTCCATAATAAATCGGTTTTCTAATAGATTTGATCTGTGACATGATATTGGAGTTAACGTCATACATTTACATCAGATTAATTTACTCTGAATTGTTTGTTGGTGTTATGAGAATTTTATCTCAAAATATTTCCAGTCAAAGATGTTTGTTTTCCTTCCACATCATGTGTGACTGTATTCAAAACTTCCTCAAGAATGGAGGGCACCAGAGAAGGAAGAGAAGGGCAGGGTGAGACTGCTCAAAGGGGGAGAAAGCGTCTAGTCATTTAGGAGACATCCGGTCTCTGCTCTGTGAACAAAGCGGTCCAACAGGGGAACAAAGCCGGAGCCTGGAGCTGGGATATTACAGACTGGTTGGCCCCTGTGTCTGGAAGTGTACGTGCCGCAGAGCAGGACTCTGGTTGTGAAGACACGCTTGGGGGCGGGGGTGGAGGGGTTTTGGCCGCCTGTCTGTCAGCTGTCAGTCTGTCTGACACATGCATTCCACTCGTGCTTATTTCTCACACATCTTTTTTTCGTGAGTTTTATTTTTGGTCTTTTATTGCCTTTATTTAGAAGGGACAGGACAATGGATAGAGTAGGAAATGGAGAGAGAGCAGGGAGTGACATGCAGGAAAGGAGCCATAGGCTGGAATTGAACCTGGGCCACCCACTTGAGGCATAACCTCTGTCTACGAGGCACATGCTAGGACCACCAGGCCTGTGGCGCCCCCTTGCACATACTCTTTCTCTTTCTACCCCACTCATCACACATCTTCCCTCTCATCTTTTAACTCCTCTCCTCTTTATTCTTCCTATTTGCTGTTTCCTCTTTCCTCTTCTCCTCTTACCGCAATCATTACACTCCATCCTCCTCCTCTCTCCTCCCCACACGTCGTCCTTCACTCCGCCCCTCCATCCTTCAAACGTCGGTGGGCAGCCGAACAATATCCAGGGGGTCACGGCGACCGGCAGCCCCCTCCCTGCGGTCTTTTCCTGCTATTGTCCCTGGACCCACTGCTGCTTGGCTCCCCACACTCTATTAACCGCACACACACTGACTTAATCACCAACGCACACTGTTCTCCTCTGGCCTCAATCATGGGAGACACGCTGGAGACCTGAGAACATGCATGAAGGCAGGATACCTGGGGAAATTTATGACTATATCCTCAGAGGAATTCAACAAAAGTTCCTGAGTGACCTCATGGGTTAAATTTATCGCATGTGAATGACAGCCAGAATATGTAAATATGCACAAGCAAACAGGATTAACCAAATTTATTCCACTGCAAAAACATCATAATGAAACACACATTTTAAACAGATAATGATGTAAATTTATGAGGCTGAAAAGGAGGTAAATTTGATGTTATGCCTGTTTTCTTTCCCCCCCTGTTGAATTATTGAACACATCGTACTTATCATGTAACTGGTACAAATTCTGTCAATTTATGACGTTGAAATCGCTGTAAAATCAATTTTCCTCTCTTAACGGAGCATTAAAAATTTGGCAAAAACTGGTGGGATTTCTCGTAAAGAAAAGGGTCATTTAATAGCTGCTCCTCACAAGCATAATGAAGATCTGGATCCCACGCCCCCATGCTGAGAAAATGAGGTGACTGTCAAAGTGATGTAACACAGAGAACAGTTTTGATAAAAGCCTTTTTTTTTTTTTTCAACCATTGGTTGGGATGGCAGGACAGAGCCGTACACACATGAAACCTGCAGCTGCAGCATTGGTTGTCGCATGATAACATTTCTATAGGGTACTACAGGCTTTTTTCCCTTTTTCCCTCTGACACTTTGATCCCACAATGGCTCCATCTCCTCCTGTAGCTAGACCTCCAAGTGCTTTGATGTACCTGTCTTTCTGTCTGTGCTCTGCTCCGGCCCCAGCCACAGATCATTTATTAAATGAGACACGAATGTCAGGACCTCACATCTTTGCCTCTTATCACTGATCAGCCGCCATACCTGGCTGTGGCAGCTTTAAATCTCTGCTTTTGGCACTGTAGGCAGGCATCAGCTGCAGAGTAATCAAAGGCTGAAAGTAGGGATCATGTAACACGAGGCTGTGGTCTTTAAAGAAGTGATTCAAGAGGAAAACAAGTTGTGAAATCTTAAATGTTGACTTTATCTCTGAGGTAAGACAGGCGCAGTCTCTTGTAGTGTAGGATGAAAACATCAGCATGTCTTGTCAGAATCGTGTTCTAGCTTAATCCTGAGGGAACAAACAGATTTTTAATATCTTTCTCCAATGAAATCTATATTTACATTTCTATAGCCCCTGGTACTGCTAAGAAGTTAAACAATGGTGCTTTGGGGGATTTAGAGTTCAACACATTTGAGTTTAGCTATAAAAGTTGATATAAAAGAGACTTTAAAATTGTTTACGGTTATAAAACCAGAGTGTTGACTTTAGCATGCTGCAGTGAAAGCACTTCATTGTGGCAGTTTTCAGGCTTATGTTCACTGATGGCATTTATTGTGCTGCCAGCACAACTTCAGACGGATCACTTACACTTATTGTTGCTTGATTACAAAAATTGCTCCATGACACTTGAGTTTTCCTCTGTAGCAACTGTTGGATATAAGTTGTTCTACATGCTTAGTATTCAGTTAAATACAAACACAAAAACAATGGAAAGAATTCACATCCTGGTATTAAAAGCTGGTCAGATCTAGTAATTGTACTCTTAGTTTGAACTCTTTCACTGTTGTTGGCAAACTTGATTATCAGAAGTTCCTCCCCTTCTTTATTTTGATTGGTCTATGAGGAGGAAGTGACACTGACATGGGTCCCAGAAGTTGAACTTTTTGCATGAGTGAGAGCAGGATGGCAAAAATAAAAGCTGAATCTGAAAACACTCAATTACATTGCTTGGTTCAGAAAATAAACACTACCTGTCTAACTAAAGCCTGACACTAATGGACACGGGCACTAAGAGTTTATTTGAACCTGCACTAGAAATACAGAAAGGAGTGAGTAGTTTGAAGTATTCATTATTGCCAATTTGACATTTCACATTTATTAAAAGGAAATCAGTTTCTTGCAGCTCCCCATTTGTTGTGTCTCAAGTTAGGGTAAATCTTTTGTTTTATTCTTTAGTAGTACCAGGCAGACATTAGATTGATCTAACTAGTGGAGAGTAACATAAAAACTAACCTAAATATCGACCTATAAACGACATTTTCACTCCATTTAGCCAATCGGTTACAAGCTCCTTTTTTAGCGGAATGTTTCAGTGCTTACTCATGAACTTACTCTCATAAACGATCGCCTCAAAACAGGCCAACAATTGAAATGACCGTCATTAAGTACCGTTTATCAATTACCGGTAAGGTGGAGTTAGATAAAATAAGGAGGAGCATTTTTATGAGGTGACAGTCCATCGTAAGTATAAAATAACAGTGACATTGAGGGGTGACATCATCTACTCACACTTTGGATGATTTTGATGTATCTGACTCTTACAAAAACAATAATACTTCTTTATGATAACGGTGTATGGTAATAATCTCTGCACATTACAAATGATCACGGTCATCTCTTGGCTGGACGGTTGGTGAAATCCTCTGTGTCTTGTGCTGCTTAAAAATATTCCGTTTTGAATTGTTTAATGACTTTGTGTGTTTCATAGCTGTTTCTAAGAATAAAAATAAGATATTTTTCACATTTGCAAACCACCCCAACATATGAGCAAAAGAACAGAATCGGCAAAGCTAATATATGGATGGTAAGAGAAATGACAACACTACATTATTCATATGGGAAGTGGGAAAAAAAAAAACTAGTTATTTCAGGCGCTGCATTTATTCTTCCCTCTGAGTATTTTACATACCTACTTTTTTTATTTACAGTCTCTGGTTGTCATGCTCGCTCTCCCTCTCTCCTCGGCACTCAACAACCTGTCCTGTTATGCCACCCCTGGGGCACTTTCAAATTTATTGCTTTTGGCCGAGGGCCCTCGCAACATAAATAAGCAGAGAGAAACAATGGGCTGACTGAATGAGCATCATACCAGAATTGTTTCTTACTAGAAGAGACAGGAAGACTTGGCACTTCACTTTCTATGCTCCTGCAGAGAAAGTTCTATGATGCTTATTCTGTTTCTGTTCTCCATATTTCCATCCCTTTGCGCTTTTCTCACTTCCGTTCTTTCCTGCCTTGTTACTTATACCCCTTTCACACTGGAGCAGCGTCATTGTTGTGAATGGATCAACAATGGAATTTGAAGCAGGCCGATGACCTTTCTGACAAAACCCTAAAAAAAAAAAAAATCAATTACTTTTACATACTACTGAGCCTAAGTCTAAACATTCTCAGTTTGGGAGTTTCATCGGAGCTCTGCAAGCTTCAGGGGTGTAATGCATATTGTTCCTCAGGGGCTACGTGGCGACTAGAGTGTTTGTAGGAGGACACATCCTTTCTGTAGCTTCACAGGTAGCCTCTCCTAGTGACCTATGATTTTTTCCTGGAATGCTGCTGTATGTCAATTTCCTCTTAAGGCAAACGTGCACACCCAAGCACAAAGGACAATGCTCAAAAAGTACACCTCTGTTAGTCATGTCAAGAGTCATACTCAACGACAATTAGACGTGTCTGTTTAAAAAAGATTTACTGTTAGTTTAGGTTTGCAGAATTAGTTTCTCATGCTTTTTAAACAACTAATAATTCATATAACATGACTATAGCTGAAATAATTGTTACTGCATACCTAGTTTTATAGATGATCATTTTGACACATATCGAATTTCCCCTCAGGGATAAATAAAGTTCTTCTTATCTTATTTTTTCTTATTCTTTATCTGCTCAAACTGCTCGTTATAGTGCCGGTTTTTGGTGTAAGTAAATGTTTCACACTGAACCAGTACTTGCAAGAATCTTACCTACTTAGTTCAAAACTTTTGATCATCCATGACTGTCTGAAGAATATTTACTCCTAAATGACCGACTTTTTCACACATTAAGCCACCACAAATTTAAAACAATCTCTATCGGTCTTATAGCGCCTGCAAGGAACTTCTAGCCTGTCAAATCTGGTTCCCCCCATAGACAAAGCAGTCTTTACTAATCTTGCAACTAAAGGTATCATTTTGTTTGAATATTTTTTTGTCAAAAATGTTAAAGCAGGGCTGTTTTTTCAGCTAATCTCATTGCAAATGACGATATAAAAATGGTCAATCTGGTCACTGATGGTCTTGTTCTCCTTTTTTATATCATGGAAAGACATTAGTTTGAATTTTGGTTGGTTCAGGACACTGCAGAAAACACCTCACAGGAGCTTTAAATCAACATCGTCATGCAGTTTCCCTTGCGTCATCATTTTCACCCGGTTTGCGTTCTGAAACTTTATGTGAATCATTGTCAAAGGTGACTTTTCTCACGGAAAACACCATCTACATGTTTCACTTTCTTTTTCTGCTCCTACATCCTTCATCTCTGTATTCATGTCTTCCTTTGTATGTCTATAGAATCCTGCTCGATAAAGGCCAATCAAATACGTGCAGGCGCACAATGATTGTAGATTACTTTGTAGCATTAATGTGCTAATTCTTGTATTTACTTTGGAAATAGAGGATATAATGAATTGTAGCTTTCGAAAAATTCTTAATTCATAAAATCCTGACACAGTGTTAATTAACTGCAGTGTAGGGACTCGCACATTAAAAATTCTTATTGCTGTTTCTGATGCTGAATTTTAGCACTTACAATTAATGGGTAAAGGGTGATTTTTCCTTTCATTCTCAACTTCTGCTTCACCTATCATTCAGCCCAGCCACTCGGATCTACTCACCCATGTGTCACTCAGAACCCACTAACAGCTGTCCCTTAGATAATCTGTGTAACCTACACTTGCTCTGCAAACATGCGAACATAAACAAAACCACAGAGTCTCCCTATGTCCGTCTCCTTCTCCTCTCTGTCTCTCTCCCACATCCACAATCTCCCTCACCATCCCTGTCACGTCCACAGGGCTCGCGCTGCCTGCCACAGGGTGAGAGGTCCTCTGGCTGGGGACCAGGACAGCACACGCCTCTCTTTGATCTTCCCCTACATTGGCTGCTACCTGCAGATAGCATATTTACACACACATATGCACACGGACACACACACACACACACGGCGCTCTCTTATGCAGCCACAGAGACAGCTCCACTTCTTTTTCGCTTCCTCCCTCTCTGTTTCTGTTTGATGCATCCTGAAACGTGTGGGTTTGCAGCATTTCAGTAATGCAATTCTAGTTTCCAAAATATGTTTTTCTTTTGGTAAGTAAAATAGAACAATAAAAAGAGACATTTTCATTTTGCGAGATCTGTAAAACTAGTGGAAAAATACAACAAAGAGAACTACTGTGAGGGTTTGGGTAGAAATGTGCCGTGTTTTCAGCGCGTATGTGTGTGTGCATGAGCTCCCAGTCATCTGGTTACCATTTGAAGGCAGAATTACAGCTAATGATATCCTAGAGGAAAACTACAGTAGCTAAACATGCAACAGCTCCTCTGTTTCTTTCCTTTTCTCTCCGCCCCTACTTTTCCTCCCCATCGGACCGTTTGCATGGCACAAAGTCAAAGTCTGCAGAAAATTCACAGATATTATTCCTTCTTGGTTTAACGCGAAGTCTCTAAGCACTCAGGTCAAACTCAAACTCCGTTACCCACAGATAGTTCAAGTGCATTTTTGTCTTCCCTTCTTGGATATCACAGAACCACACAAATTCAGAACCCACACACACAAACAGAATATGGCTCTCGCATCTGGATTCAATCACAACCCTGATCCCCCAGCAGCCTCTCGTGAACAGAAGTAGGTTATAGCTGCAGTGTCAAATATCAAACCCTCTTTTAAACTCATTTGAATATCAGGAACATGCTTTTTTTTTTTTTTTAATCCTACATGGTCATGAAGTTTGTTTTTTTTTTCTTCTTTTGCAAGAGAAGATGCTGAACAAATGCATCGCTGGAAGACAGTATGTGCAGAAAAAGTGCATTTACTGTGTTTATGTACACAATAAGCTGTCTCTTTGGATTTAGGGCAGCTTGCTTCAATTTCCCATTGCTTTGTATCTCTTTTTCTTCTTCTCTCTGTCTTCTTCGCTCCTATTTTTAACTGTAAGCCTCAGCAAAAACCCAAACTTTTCTTGTGTGCCACCACAACATCTTGTGACTTCTCTAACAATGGAAACAAAAACAGAAACATTCAGAAATCTCTTAACAATGTGTGATTAAAGATGAAATGAAGCGTTGTGCATGTATAAAAAATTCATTATATAGGGATATATACGTTTTACCCAGGTCTAGACAACATGTAGAGGGATCAATCATTCAAGGTTACCTTTAAGTTTAATAATGAATTAGATGTGAAAAAACGGACATTATGTACCCAGGCCAAACAATGCAGAGAAAGTCCTTCGTCCTCTTTACAGGCTGCATCCACCTTTTCTCACAGTGCGTCTGCCAGAGAGATCTCATATTGACATTGACACTAACAGACTCTAGTTGCTAACACAAACTCTAAAAGCCACACCTCACAGAAATGTATGCATCCAACTCTCCCAACAACAACAACTTTCCCTATATTTTGGGTATATATATATAAAAGCCCTGGGTCCACCTGTAACCACGGTTACAGCAGCATATAGTGATGCTGTTTAAAGAGGAAACATGGTGTTTGATTGACAGGGCTGATGTTTAACGGATGGCAGAATGACAGTTGTTGTTTTCTTCTCGCAGTGAGTGAGCTGCATAAGTAAGGAATCATACCTTGTGCCTGATAAATACATTTCATGATAATGTCATTCACAACAGCCACATAAACCAATAAAATGTGTGAATAACATTGGCACCTGAATTTTAAGTATGTGGATTTATACATTATATAGGGCCCTAAAAAGTATTATAAAATGTAGTGACTACAGTATGGGCATTTTTTCCACCTGCATTTGCAGGATACAATGTTTTTTTGAATCATACATGGAAAAATTTCCATATTTGACGTTACACTTGTCCGTGATGCGCAGCGATCAGAATCTGGAATTCTCTTTGGCTGTGTTATTGCTGCAGTCATCCTCTCGGGAAATGGTTTGCCTGTCCTTGTAGAATTTAGTAAATGGTATCTTTTATATCAGGCCTTTTAAGACATTTTAACTTGTCAGTTAGATAAAGGATAATGTATTTTGAGTGTGTGGATATGCGTATGATAATTCCAGTGCCCAGGTTTTACCCTCCCGGGTTCTTACATGCATTACCACCTGTTTACCTTTAGGGTTGTCCCGATACCGTTTTGATATCGGATATCAGTCCGATATCATAAAAAATTCAAATATCGGATTATATCGGCCTGCATCTAAAATCTCCGATATCAGCACTCCGATACAAGCAGTCCATTGTAGACTTGGCTCCAGCACCTCTATCTAGCAGCAACAGAATCCAGCATGTAGAGCCCACATGACCACAACAACAGTGTGTACTAAGGTGTGTAGGAGTTATGTCGGCCCTGTGGCAGTATTTTGTCAAAAAATACAGTGCGGAAAAGACACTGCAGCTGAGTGCAAAACATGTCATGCACAAGTTTGTGCTAATATCGGTTCAACATTGGTATCGGCCATAATTGAAGGCTACTATATCGGTATTGTATCAGGTAAAAAAGTTGTATCGGGACACCCCTACTTACCATACATAATCCCATCTATTAGTGAATCAAAGATGGTGCAAAATTATTCTGTGAAGCTGATTTTATTTTAAAAGGATTTGTCTGTACAGCTTGAAAAAAACAGCCCTCCAATTCCACAGCTGGTACTATATATTTTAATAATCCATTCTTATCAGCGGGACAAATAAATATAAATCTGAATGTTTTGATTCACAGTCAAGTTGTGTGTGTGAACAGAAACGTATGTTCTTTGCCACAGTGTCAACGGGCAGAAGTGACATTTTACTGAGTTTGCTTTGATGTGACACCTGTGATTCAGTTATTATTAGCTTTATTCTCGTGAAAAATTGTCACTGTTGTGAAGAGATTTTCACACTCAGGCAACAATGTAATTTGAATCTGCTAAATAGCCTACAGCAACATTTAGGGAGAGCATGTGCCGTATTCACCCAGAGCAGAGTTTTTCCGCCTGACAACCTGATGGTCAGACACAAACATTTCCAACACAGTTCAGTCTTCTACCACATCACTAGCACTTTGAAGCCTCGGTCATTTTACCAGACTCTTTACCTGTTTTATTTTCACAAAAACTGGAATTCCTGGAAAGAAGCAAAGCTCATCACTACCCCCAGTAAAGGGCGTTAGAGAGACACTAAATATTCACATGAAACAGCTTCATTCAGTGCTTATTAATGTTGTACTATGAAAGACATCTTTGATTCATATTGTCAAACACTGCTGTATTATAATGTATAAAGAATTTCTAGAGTCTATCTGCTGTATGAGACAGTGAAGCCCTTTATGTACTTTCATTTGAACAGTGGTGAAATACTCTGTGGATACTTTCCACGGATTGTTCTGTGTTTCTGGTTTTGACAGCAGCCGTCTCTTTCTGTTTGATTTTGTCTCCTCCAGGTCTTCCCACCCCTTCCTAACGAGGCTGAGATCGCACACACTAAAAAGCTCTTCCGACGCAGGAGGAATGACCGACGGTAACCACACACACACACACACACACACACACACACACACAGACACACACACACACCTACCTCAGAGAGAGGGAATGCTTTTTACTGTTGATGTCAGATGTCAGTGCGCAGCCAGTGCTATAGCCTTAACATCTCTCCTCAGCCAAAGCAATGTCAAGACAGGAATGCAGGCTCCACACTTCACTGCGGACGGGAAAAATAGAGAAGAAAAAAAACTCCCGAGAGGACATTCAAGGTTTTATTCACTTTTAATAGGTTACTTCACAAAAAAAGCAGTTATGCAGTCAGTTATGTTGGCCATGATTACCAGGCTTTTTCTGATCAGAATACACTCGTACTTAATCATTGAATCTTTTGTCCAGTGCCAAATGTCCTCGCTCTGACACTCTGACGTTTGATTTCTGCACTGCCACATATGCTACACTCTCCGAAATCGCATTTTGCCCAACCCTAACTTCATTAAAACCAGGTCCTTAAAAGAAAAAAAAAAACACACATCTCTCCCTCGTTCTCTCGCGCCCTGCCCTGATGTCACTGGAAACTGCTCTTCAGTTGCTAAGAGACAGGCAGAGAGAAAATATTTGGGTTGTATCTGTAGTCAAAAAAGGAAATTTTAGCTATACCAAATAGACAAAAGCACTTTCATCCTTGTTTTATAAGTGCAGAGAATAATTGGTTCTGTGCAGAGCTGTTGTTTTTCTCTGCAGGTCTGATGAAAAAGGAAAGAAAAATATAAACTTAGACCAACAGCAGATTGCAAAGATTTTCATACATGTTCTTTTTGTTAACTGTAAGTTTTGAAAGGAAAACCTGCTTACCTCCTGGCACACTTGATCACTACTTTTCTTTGACCTCGATGGGATGTTAAAAGATGTTGTATGCGTGTGCAATAAGGAAAGTGTATGCCAAAAAAGTTAAAAGGCTGCCACAATGATCAGCCTGTCTCGACTGGCAAAAGGTGTAAAAGGAATATTTAAGTTGATTCTTCTATGATTCTGAAACAAGCGACACCCACTCAGTAGGTCACATAGCAAAGATTTCAACCACTGTTCTGCACAGGTGTGGCTTTTGACATGGTGCAACAGGCTTTCTGAAGGCCAAAAACTTTGAAAGAAACACTGTTTTGCATGGCTTACCCTTGACTTTCCTACAGATGAACCAGTCAAAAGAAAAATGTGAAGAAAAATGCAATCGGTGACACTGCCTGAGACGCTTCAGCTATGAAAATACAGACTCTTAAATGCTGTCTAAGTGCTCTTGTCTTTTACATGATGTCATTTGACTTTTATATGTATTACGTAACATATTACTCCTCTCCTAATGACTGTGAACATCAAGTCTGAAGATGACTCTAACTATCTTTTTTTTTTTGGAAAAATGTGAACTCACATGCCATAGAAGGTTCTAAATGAACACAGAGCAGGCTTTAATGTGACTCCAGCACAAGCATTGTAAAACATTAGCAGTCTGGTGCTGTTGTTTTCTGAGGTAACACAAAGCCAAGGATAGCAAAGAGGTAGAGAGCGCAGGATGAGGGTGGGGATGAGACAAATAAAAAAAAAAAAGAGATGATGTGGAGAATTAAAAAAACTGAGTTGAGAAGTATTAATAGAAAGTACTGTGGCACTCATGATCATTTCTAGTAAACTCCAGGCCAGCCCGACATTGTTCAGAATTTCCCTCACACATGGGAAGTGAGGGGATCATCTCTAGATACAGGATATGATGTAAGATAGATGCTGCTTGAGAAAGGGTCTGCTGTGTACAAGGATGCAGCAGAGTCACATGATGCCAAACTGACAGTTCCTCGTAATTTGACACAGTCAGGGGTAGGGGTGGGAATCACCAGTGGCCCCACGATAAGATATTATCACGATACTTGGGCCACGATACAATATTATCACGATAATGGGCCACGATACAATATTATTGCGGTTTTCAACATTTTACAATACAGTGAGTTTGCGATACAGTATATCACAGTTTATACTATTCTTTTCAACTGTTTAGCTCATTTAGCATTTGTCTTTCCTTTATGTTTGTCTTATTTACACAGTATTTTATTTTCATGTAGCACATCTTGCGAACCGTATGTTCAGGTCCATCTCATTTGTGCCCTGCTTGCATTCCTAATGTCTTCCCCCAGGTGCTGCTATATTTGTTACACTAACTTTCTCCCGCTCTATGATGTTACTTCTGCCAACCTCACTGGACAAACAGTTGATTTTATTTTTCCATTATCATAGATTTGACTTCATATTAACAATAAATTAGAAAAAAACGATTCTTGGCAAATGAGACGATACGATATATCTTCAGACAAAATATCGCAATACTATACTAGATTGATTTTTTCTCCCACCCCTAGTCAGAGGTTAAGCTAGATAAATGAAGCAGCTTTATTTCATGCAGACAGTTTGCACTGGCATCACATAGTTCATTCTATATTACCATCATCACTCCCAGTCACATGCTTGATGAATTTGCTTGAGTTTTACCTTCTGAGGTCAAAATCAACTCATCCTGACTACTTGCAGGAATTTTATGTAGGTTGGGGGTGGTAGAAACAAGTACGGATACATGCAGCCCACCAAACAAATTCTGGAATTTGTCAGGAGTGCAGTGCATGTGCGGAACTGAGCATGTCCGTTTCCTGCACAAATCCGGAGTTTAACCTTAGCATACTGGAAGTCAAATGCTTCAAAACGGATGGCTAGGTGGGTTTTTATGCACGTTTACAAAGACACTGGGAATATGTTAATTGGCTATAAAGGGGCGGCTAACCAGTGTTGCCAGTTGCCCCAGCAGCAGAGCAGAGTATTACAGGCGCGGTATGAAAGCGTGGCTTTTGTGTGTTAATGTTGCCCAATGATAAAGAAAATGACCACCACATCTGTCTCTTACACAGCTTTGCATGTTTGCTGATCAAATACATTAACTGCATGTGTTTGTCTACCCAACGTGCTAATCCTCTTATCTGCATTATCTACAGTCTCCTGACAGACAACACAACCAGCAGCATGCAGCACTGAATATTCATTTTGGTAAAAGCCACACGGATTATGTTTTATTGTATGAAGTCAAATATTGATGGTTTAACTGTATGTGCAAGCACGAGGATTGTTGTGTTGAATAAAGCCGAAGAAAGATAAACAGAAAACAGTAGGCTGTGAGATTGAGTAAAAGAAAAGTGTAGGCTGGCTGTGGCAGGAAGGAAAAGAAAGGGGAGGTAGTGCATGTGTTTCTACTTTAGTATGCACGTCAAGCAGGGCTGAAATTAGTTGTGATTTACTGGAATGTGCTGCTTACTGCTCCCCGCTTCAAAACAGCACAGGAGCAAAGAGGACGTGAATACGCTCCTTCTTCTCCTTCTTCTTCTTCCCCTTTTGCTGCGTATATGTGAAGATCTGCTCAGTGTTAATACACTTTTGTATATTTAGCCTTGGAGCTTTCTTGCTATGTACAATTTTGACTCACATTTGAAGTATGTGGTTTCCACATGTTATTGTTGGAAAGTAATAGTTTAAAAGAAGCATTGCAACATGGATTCTCAAACATATCTGAGCTGCTCAGTTGTGGGTAGCGAAACAACAAAAATGAATGTGATTTTTTTGGATAATCTGCCGTTGTTTTATGATGTTTACTCAATAACTGGTCTTAAAAATTTGAGAAAAACATTTTAAAAGAGCTTAGAACTATTTACGACTCCAGTGAACAGTGTTATAAAAGTTTATTTTTTCTCAGTATCGATTCAAGATGCAAAGATTCATCATTTAAAGATTTGAATGTAAGAAAAAGGAAACAACTCTTGAAGATGAACCCAACAAATGTTTCAAATTACTGCTTAAAAATGAGTGAAAATGATACTTTATGAATTTAGTTTAGTAGATACTTTGTTTTTGTGAAGTTTTGAGAAACTTTTCTTCAGTTTGCCTGACCCTCATTATCATCCCATGGTAAGAATCCAAAAATCTTTTCCTTTAGATGTTTGATGTTATTGAATTTACATCAAGTTAAAAAAAAAGCGGCCTTTCTCAAAGTGCATCCTATAAACTGTCTGCTTTCTTCTCATGTCCTCCAGCCATTACTTGTAATTAAGTATTATGCATGCATGTATGCACACATTTTCACTTGTTTCTGAGTCTTGATTTTGAATCTTTAAAACCCATTAAAGGAAAAACAGTGAGTGTAATGCAAATGTGCAGTCAGGCAGCCAAAACCAGTCTTCCCACAGTCCATTAAACCAGCGTACTGTGGTCCGTATGAAGCTCTGGACGGGATATTGACCGTCTGGCCTGCAGGCTTCTCGTCCCCCGGGCTGATTGATTTACCAGTCTGGGTCAACCAATGGTCCGATGGGTCCACGAGGTTTCCATCCACATCCACAGAAACAGCCCTGATCGATAATCAGCACCCTTCCTCCTCCCATGATCATATCTGCAAATTCATTTCATCTTTTTTTTAGCTATCACTTCCTGCAGTTCTATGCATGTTGTTTGAATGACATAGTTACCAACCTGTAGTTTGTTTGTTTTTTTATTCCCCTTTTTGCTGTCTTGCTTTGTTCTTCCTTCTCATCTCCTGTTATGTCCCATTCTTCCTGTACGCCTCCTATAAAAATGAATCGCCATTTTCTATCAACTTGTTCTTCCCCTTATTCCACTCTCCATTTGTCCTCCGTCTTTTCATCTCCTCAATCACCTACACTGCGGCGCACCTTCCTCTCCTGCTTATAGAGCGATTGATCAGTTCACCCGAGACCAGTTAACCGTACTTCTGCCCACTGGCCCCGGGGGAAAGCGACAAGTCTCAGCCAGGTCAGTGGAAACAAAGCCAGATCTTATCCAAAGAATGGGATTTAATATTTCAAGGATCCAGGGCTTTCCTATTTTTAACTTCTTTAATACCAGACTGAGGCGAAATGGAAAACTTTCCTGTGGTCGGAGACAAAATTGGACTTTTCTTTGGAAATCACTCGACCCACATCCTCCACTCTGGAGAGGGGCTGGACCACCTGGCTTGTTATTAGTGCACAGTTCAAAAACCAGCATCCTTGATTGCATGGGGATACATAAACGCCATGGCCGGACTTGTTTTCACATCTAAGAAAAGACCATTAATGCTGAATTATATATATAGGTTTTGGAATAACATATGCTGCCAACCAGCCGATGCCTTTTTCTAGGAAGACCTTGTGTGATGCATAGATTCAGCATGTATTAAATAAAACAATAAGGCTCCACAGCAGAGGAGTCTGGGTGCTTAACTTGGCCGTCTACACTCTCAACTTGTCACCCACTGAAAACATTTGGAGCATCATAACACAAAAATATGAAAAAGGTGACTCCCAGCTTGAATCCTGTATCAAAAAAATGGAAGATTAAACTTTCAAAACCCACAAACTGGTCTCCAGGGCTCCTGAATGTCTACAGTGTTGATAAAAGAGGAAGTGATGCATTATGATGCCAAACAAGCCCCTGCCATCAATGATTCGCTGGTTCCTCATTTAAAATGAGTGTATATTTTTCTTGAAACACTCAATTTCATCATTTGATTTGTTGTCTTTGCACTATTTTCAGTCAGTTTTAGGGTTTGAATGATTTGCACACCATCAAAATCTCATTTTATGACCATTTTACACCGCGTCTCAACTCTTATGGATTACTCTCAGGGTTGTATATCTGATTAATTCAATAATGTTTCCAGATTCATCACCTTAACAACAAAAATTACGGTTCCTCATTTGATAAGATGATTGATTGCAGCAGAGCTAGCCTGTTTCTAAGTAACAAGACGTCATGAGATGGGATTTCATCAGCAGCCCCATCATTTATCCTCACTGCAAACATCTCCCAGGTGGATCAATCTGAGAAACACTAAAGCTGCTGCGGCTCTTTCAGTCATTAAATATGATTAACATTTTATTACTGTCTCACTTTCACCTCTACCCATCCGCAGCGGATCAGGAAAGGAGCTTATCAGAGCTGAGCCTAGACTAACAGCAAGTGCAAAGATCAAATTAATCATCAGATGAGTGACTGAGTCTGACGGAGAGAAAGACCCTGAGCAGTCTGAAGCTTTGCAGAAGATTATGAAATCTCACTCTCTGAAGTCATATTTAATGAGATCTCAAAAATTCTGACTCTCAACTGTAAGCTATTATACTTTGTGATTAGGTAAAGAGTTAGTTCAAAGTTAAAACATCTGGAAGCAGCGAGGCGGTTTTGAAAAGTTTACCGTAGAGAAGATAAAGCGGACATTCAAAGTTGATGATGGCAGCCGCTATACAATAGAGACTCCCTTATCATGTACAAAAGAAAAGCTTAGTTCAGCCATGTGATCAAAAACATGCGTCAGGCTGATGAATTCATGACAAAGATAGATGCTGAGAACATCTGCGTAGGGATGGAGACAAGCTGTTCGGCAGAGAAGAGAGAACTTTCTCCAAACCTCCCAGAGAGAGTGTTTCAGAGCGGCCAGGCGACATCATCTAAACCAACGCGCACACACACACACACACTCAAAACACTATAAATACATTTATACACATTTGGTTTTCTGCCCTTCTTAGCACACATACATAAAGGTGGTAGTTTCATGGAAATGAACCAGGGTTTCAGTTCGTCAGTAAGTCTATGAAGCATTTTAAAAACAGGCATTGGTGCCCATCATCATGTTTCTTTTCCCAATGAGACATAATGAAAAGTCTCTTTGTATAACCCACAATAAAATGAACCAAAAAAGGATAGTGCTAAAAGGAACTGTGGACCAGCTTTCCCGGTTGTTGTGGTCTCCATTTTAATGACTAAACATTTTTTTTCATACCGGTTGCTGATGAGTTTTCTAACTTTTTTGTGGCAATTTCAGCTCTGAAAATGACGTTTCATACTCCTGCCATAGACAGTACAAAAACACAGAAGTAGTCTTTGTGACGGCACACATTGGTTCTTGACAAGGTGTGAAGGGGCCAAAGGATGGTGGTAGCCAATGGAAATGCTGACCTGCGCCAACTTTTGATAGAGCCGGCAAAGAGGCAGAGTTGGGGCCATCATTTTGATGTCTGGTAAACAGCGGCAATATGCACACCTGTCAATCAAGCAAGACACGCCCCTTATTGTGCTTAGCCTGGTTATTATTAAAATTGTCAAATTATAAAGCCCCACCCCCGTCCTCACAGATGGACGAGGTTAAGAAACCAAAACTGTTTTTTTTTTTTCTTTTTTTTTTTTTGTCAGTCTGCAAACATTTAATTATCTTTAAAAAAAATAGACACTCTACAATGGGCACTTACGTTTAAAACCAGCCTCAAGTGGACACTCAAGGAACTGCAGTCCTTTTAATACTCAAAATTGTTAATTGGTAAATGGCTGTTTTGTCATAATTCAAAATTGTTTTAGATAACTACCTAGATGTACTGCATATCAATGTTTTTGTTGTTCTGTTCACTTTTTCTCTGGCCGGTGGAAACCTCTTCAACATCGTTGGCAACGGCAACCAGATCACCATGTTATGAAACACCTTATAAAAGCGCATTCTTGGGTTGATGTCCTTTTCTTGGTGCAGATTTTGAAATTGAAAGAAAACACTACCATCCTTTATTACTGCTACAGACCGTTTTAAGAAAATCCCCTCTACCTGAAAGGAAGAATCTGTATCTTTCATACATTTTTTCTGATCTGTTTACATTGTAACTTGCAGAACATGTGTTAAAAATGTGATATCAAGAACAGGCAATACTTAACAATACAGTAAAATATGTCTTCAGAACCACAGGCTTCAAAATACTCTCATCAGTTACCACAGAGTGATTACAGTGAACATTATTGAACTCCCCCTGAATACATCCGAAAGCTATTTGTGGACATAACGAATAGGACCTTTTTTTAAAGTCAGTTTTAACTGTATGTTTTTATCGGTCAGTACGTTGTTTTACATGGCCAAAGTCAGAGTTTTTGAGTTCACTTTTCGCATTCTCTGAGGAGGTCAAGCTTGATTTCTTGCCTTTGAGTTTACAGAAAGGATACAGCGTATAGTGAACGAGCGGTTATGTAAATTAGAACTCTGACAAAGTGAGGAGGAGGACTTGAGGCAGCCCAGCAGCTCCTCGGCTGTTCACACAACCAAATGTGTCTTTATTTCCTGACTCTCCAGACCGTCCTGACCAACAGAAATAAGAAATGACTCCTTTCCTAATATGGACTTGATATGACCTGTGTGGCTCGGTTAACCCTGGTGTCAGTTTTGCTATCAGAACCACATATTTAACACTGATTGGTAGTGAAAAGTGTTAATTTTCCAGAAAGAGTTCAGTGTTACAAAGATTTATACATTTTCAACATTCATACATCATTTGAACCTCTCGTACTGTAAAAATCCTTTTGGGCTCACATTTAGAGTTTGCTAGCTGCTGTTGGTTGAGGATTTGTCTTTTTTGCAAGTTCACCGGCTCAGGCAGATAATAGGCTGCCTCCGAGGTGCCAGGGTGACTAATCCCCTGGACCATATGTCAGCGGCTTGTCAAGCCCAGAGCCAGAGCAGCAGCAGGACTGAGCTATGCAGGACAGGAAAACACAGAAACACTGTGCATCCACATGTAAGCAGACATTGAGTGTTAGCTCTTTTACATTTTTATCTGTAGATAGTGTGTTAATGTTTGTGCCTGGTTGTGAGTTTTCATGGTGATATTGACAGGGGGAAATTTGTGAATAACTGTAACGCTTCAGACTTTGGAGATAAGATAAATTGGAAGCTTTTGACCAAACTGAAAATAAGTTTTAGTGAGTTATGAGGCTGCAGATCATCATGATACAAGTGTGACGCATCTGGGTGTTTGGAGCCATTGCCAGGTACAAGCCAGCTGTTGTAGCATCACTGTGTCGCTAATTGTAACCTGTCGTCATTCTAGGAGACAGCAGCGGCCTCAAGGAGGGGGAGGAGGAGGAGGTGGTGGTGGTGGAGGAGGAGGAGGGGGAGGAGGAGGAGGGAAGAACCAACCTCAGCTGATACAACAACAGTCACCTCAGCACCAGAGGGACCAAACCCAACAACAGTCCCCAAACCAACATCAGCAGAGCCTATCAGAACAGGGAGATAACAGAAACAACAGCGCTGGTCGACCACCTCGCCAGTATCAAGGAGGACATGGACAGCGCCAAGGTGGCGCCTCACACCATGGATATAGCCAGAACCGGCGTTGGCACCACAATCAGAAAGGCCAGGGGCATGGACAGACAAACACTCCAGCTGACAGAGGAGTACCCCCAAGAACAACCAAAGAGACCGAGAATGTAAAAACAGGTGACGAAATCAGATCACCTCAAGACTGCAAAAGCAAGAGTCCCAATGAGTCACCCAAATCCGAGTCAACGCCCAGTAAAAACATTTTCCCAGATCCGGTAGTTAGCAGAGAATCACCAAATCCACCAGGAGGTGGGAAGGCAGGCGAGGGCCAGTCGGAGCGGCCCAAAATCAGCCTGCTGCAGTCTTCAAAGGAGAGGCTGAGGAGGAGACTAAAGGACAAGGTACCGAAAAGCTGCTTAGAGCCTGTCAGTCAGTATTAAGGCAATCAGGACTAATGTGTATGTGTACACACACGCTACCATGTAGTCTTATAATTACTTTCATTATGTTCACACACCCAAACACACACACACACACACACACACACATTGCCATTAATATACACACACCTTTCCATCACTGCTTTGCTTTAGTCATTCATCTACTTAGTTTCTTGGAATTCACATCAACACACCCTGAATGGCAGGGAGGGGAGTACATGTTCATGCTGATGAGGCGAAGAAACCAAAGAGGCATTAGCTTAACAGTTCTGATGTTTTCCACTAAACCGGCAAGTTAACCTGTAATGCTACACTTACAGATCACTCATTACCACCAGGGTGGGTTTGATTACAGGAAATTTATAAACACAACCGCACTGACACCAGTGAATCCAGGCTGGGAGATCTTTTTTATTTTCCTTTCTTTCTTTGTATTTTCTGTCAGCCATAATATGCCGGATGTTTTCAGTAGATGACAAGTTAGGACTGCAGCCAGCCCACTTTTGCACATGGACTCTTCTGCTGTTTTGTCACGTGCAGAATGTAGTTTGGCATTGCCGAGTGACTTTGCATGGTCTGCCCTGAAACAGAGCAGGAAACCAGGATATCAAACAATCTTTCATCAACTTTTTATCGATCAAAAGTCCTAAAAACTAGTTAAATTACTGACATGAAGCTTTGCAATCTTTTACCAAGGAAAATTTTTTTCGACACATTTCAACTGTTTGCTCAAAGTCTTTTGCAGAGCGGTAAATCTCCTCCCACCTTTCCTTCTGAGAGACTCAGCCTCTCCTTTTTACTCCGAATCATGGAACTAATCTGCTGCAAATTAACATAATAGGTTGTTCCCCCCGGATGTTTTTCAGCATTACACAACTTTTTCAGTTCTCCCCATTAATACATTTTGGAAACGTTGCAAGCATCAAAAATGAGCATTTATTTTTCATGTAACAGTAAAATAAGATTAGATGAGATATTCCTTCATTTGTCCCACAAGGACTGCTGTAAATTCAAAATTTACAGCAGTGATATATACAAAAGAGACATTAAAGAATGAAGAAACTTAGGAGGTAAAAGATTAAAACTTAATCAGTTCCAACATTTAGTACTCACCAGTTTTTCTTGACATAGCATCATACCTTTTTATGAAAACAGGCTTGTACTTTTTATAGCAATTTATTTACACAGAAACTCTCAAGGCTTCCTCTACAACTATTCTGATTTATGTCGTTTACAATTTTGTTTTCCTTTGCTTATAGTTTGTATATTTTGCTTTCTCTGTCCCATTTCTGTTAACAAAAATAGGACCTGAAACAACTGTAAAATCTCAGAGTAAACAAACCTCGATTAATACACTCATAACTTTATTTATTCATGACTATTCTGAAACGATTGACAAATTCACATTTGTCAAATCTGAACTCTTTTTACCACCCTCCATCATCAACTCATTTTCTGTCCCATCTCCCGCCACAGGAGGACTCACGCGTGGAAGCATCAGGCTCCGGATCACAGAACATGGACCGGCTGGTGGAGCTCCTCAACAGCATGAGGAGCAACAGCAGCGGGGTGGAGCAGCAGCTGGCTTCCTTCATGGAGGAGGCGCAGAGCTCAGCGCGATCAGAGGAGACCCTCGCTCAGGTGGTCAGTGCCATCTACTCCAAAGCTGTGTCAGATCGCAGCTTTGCCGCCACGGCTGCCAAACTCTGTGACAAGATGGCGCTGTTCATGGTCGAGGGGACCAAGTTCAGGTCGCTGCTCCTTAACATGCTGCAGGTGAGAGAAACGGGAGGATGTCGGTGCTGGTTATCTAACTCAGTCTTAAAACTCGTCAATATACTGATCCCTCATTTATCCACTGTGCAGTTTTAATCAACACTTTTTCTTGACTAAATGGATTCACCGATTGGATGTTGTGTCCTTACTACTGTGGCAAGGCTATGCCACGGATGTCACAATATGCTGTATACTAATACCGTGCTAACAATAAGCAAAGGATGACACCATGACTTAGTAGTAGTGGTTCTTCGACACGAGTTGCCACACATCACACAAAAAAGCAGAGACAAGATGCAGCAGCTACTCGCAAGTCAGCTTTAGCAGCCCATGAGAGATGATTAGACTCTTTAAAAACTGACAGTCCAAGATTGTGAATCAACTTTAGAGCCTGTGCCTCTCCGGGTAACTACTATCAATATAATTATATAACTAATACTAATCAAATAATACTAATTTGATATTTGTACTTTCAGGCTGTTCTTTGTCGTGTCATATGCTTCAAAATTACAACACAGGAAATAAATCAACCTGAACACAACAGGAAAAAAATATCAAAATAACAGCATGACAGTCATTAATGAGGCAGAATCTTCACTGGGGAATTTTCCGTTACAGGATTAATGATGTGGAATATCATGAATTTAAACATGATCAGATAAGTTTTTGCATTTACTACTTGAGTTTATGTCTTGCCTTTCCAAAATTTAACTTTAACTGTGAATTGAAATCTGATATTGCGAAAGCTCGAGCAGAAATATTTTTTTATGGCACTTGTTACCGTTGTCCTGTTGTCACATAGCAACAAGTGTCAGTGTTAGACGCCATATCTGAGCACTCATCTGCTAATGACAGCAGTGAGCAGCTTTCGGACATTGTTCACTGCAGTTTACAAAACAATACAAATACAAAAGGAGGTCAACTTATTCTTAATGTCTGTTGCCACTCCTTTGCTGCTCAACAACAGTGTCAGCTTGATTTCCACTCACTGGTTTCTTTACAGCTACTCTGTCTCTTTGTACTAAGACACAAGGAAAGGTGGAGGACGCCCTCAAGTTTGCTGAGAGAGTTTCGAGCCCGTTTTATTTGTACAGCACATCTCATACAAATGAACACCCAATGTGTTTTCCCTCACTTGAGATGGTTTGACCTACTATGGGAGTCCCACCTGATGCGTTTCCGTGACACTAATATAAAGAGCGGCGTATCACGTATCGTAGTCCCCTGCTGATCCCACCCCTTTTGATATTCAGTCATGAGACAAAAGACCAGCAACTCATTTTCTTAAAGAAGTACCTGCAACCTGGAGCTAAGCTGCACAATTCATCCTTGATCATAAAAAGCCTGCAAATCCAGAACCAGAATCTGCTTTATTAACCAAATATGTGCACATATACAAGGAAACTTACTCCAGTAGACATTGCACTCTATGTACAGACATTAAACATAAAATATAACACAAATGTGTACAAGATTACTGCAGACATTTAAGTCATGTACACCAGATCATTCACACAGGGGAGATCTGTAGAGCTGATTATGCGCTCAAGTAAACTGCTAAATTATCTCATGAAGTTAAAAGGTGAGACTTGCGATTGTTCAGACTTTTAAATGTTGCACATTATGAACTTTGTGAAGTTGAGAATTAATTATCTTTGTTTTGAGACTAACAAAAACTATTTGAAGAGACCAACCTTGTGCTCTGTGAGCCTGTTACCAGCTTTTCATGACATCCTCTAAACTTGATTTACAAATTTAAAAAAAAAGAAAGACAGAAAAGGGTTGTTTAGATATTTTGGATGGAGCTATGATAACCCTGAATTCTTTTTGTATCTTTTGAACGAAACCACCTTTTATTCTTTTGAATAAGCCAATTGAATCACTTTTTTTCTATCCCTCATCAGTCCACTTTTGAGGCACATCAGGTTTTTTGACTGCATGTTTGTCCTCTCTGCAGTTTAATGCATTCAACCTTAGACTGAAGAGAAAGCTCTCTCAGGTGGGAGCAGACTGTGTGTGTGATGCTGTAAATGTCACTGGGCAAAGTAGCTAATCCAAACACCCATGGGAGAAAGAGACCTGCCCCTCCATTCACCCTCCATCCCTCCACTTTACAGCACAGTTCCAGTCTTGCACCCTCAATAAAAATATCCTCATAGCTGTTGTGTACTTCTCTCTTTCCTCCCTCCCTCCCTTCCTTTTCCAGTTCCTCATGAGCTCTCTATTACCCCACCACCACCTTATCGCCTCCTCTCACCCAGAACAGCACGGGCCACTGCCTCGCTACCTCTCCTTGCACACTTCCCCTTTCACTCTACTCTAACCACGCTCCATCATGAGAGGCAGACATCCTCGCTAGAGCTGCAGCGGGCGAGTGAGACATCGGTGGCGTCTTCAGTTTAAATGTTTACCCAGCCTTTTACTAGAGATGCTCTTTTTTTTACACTCCCACACTTTTCACTCGCAGCCTCTCAGTTTTTCCTCATCCCTCGCCTTTCTTACATCTGCATGATCCCTCCTCTTCTTCTTACCCCTTATTTTTTCTCCTACTTTCCCAGCTATTAAGGACCCCCTCCTCGTCTTTGACATTTTGACTTTTTTTTTTTTCGCTGTAAAACATTTTAAATGTCACAACTCGGCTCATAAAGGCTGTCATTAATGATATTGCTCCCAGACCCCAATGTGGGGACAATTAGTCTGTAACTGTTTGGCTTATTAAGAAGGAAGGGAGAGGAGTGTTTCTTTTCCTTGCTTTCATTAAGCACAAAGACTGTGAAAGACTCTGTTTATTTATGACAGCAGAGAAATGTTGTTTATATGCCTTCTCATTATCTTCTTCACCTCTTTTGTTATAGTTCAGTCACTGTTCTTGTCTGTTTCCCTTTACCTTGCCATTTTGTAGGCACTGCGCCAGTAACCTTGATGGTGTAAGAAAAGAGCGTGTTTGCTTTTTAGTGTTTCTTTTTCTTAATGCTGGATCCATTCAGAGCTACAGATTCTGTGCATGTCTGTGCACAAACAGGCCTTCTGTGCAGTTGTACTAGTCTGTGAGAAAAAAGAAAAAAAAAGCTGCTTGTTTTTTTTCTAGTGCTCTTCACTCCTTGGTAACAGGCAGGAAAAATGAGAAGCAGAGCGTGATGCTGTGCCTGTTAATAAAGTTTCAGTTTAACCTGCCGTATAACAACTTTACAAGTGCGCATTAAGCATTAACCCATATTAACCCCCACTCTTTCACAGCACTGACACAGTTCACTCCCCTTCACTTTCAAACCACATTAACATATTCTCATCTACTTCAGGCAGATAAAAGAAACTCATGAATTTGTTAAATGCATTTTTCAACTGCTTTTTAGTTTTAAGTACTTAAAGCCAGGAGGTTAATACATGTACCACCTACAAAAACTCCCATCAGAGAGATCGCTGAGATGTTGATGGTGATTACCGGCACTGCTGACGAATTTTTGAAACACTAATATTCTCTTACCAACCGCCTACCTACCTGGAACATGTATCAAAATCTGAATGGGGTTGTGTTTTGGTGTTTTTTTTAATTATATTTCTTTTTTTCCGTCTCCCCACAGAAAGACTTCTCTAATCGAGAGGAGCTCCAGCAGTCGGACGTGGAAAGGTGGTTGGGTTTCATCACCTTCTTGTGTGAGGTGTTTGGGACCATGAGGAGCAGCTCCGGGGAGCCGTTCAGAGTGCTGGTGTGTCCCATCTACACCTGCCTTCGAGAGGTCTGTAACCAGATCAGCACCTTTTTTTTCTATTTTTATCAATAACTGTGTCAATGATGAATCGACTGACCCCATGAGACAAAAAAACCTCCAGCTGTGTTTGCACATTTTTCTCAGCCTAGATAGATTCATGCTCTGAGCTGGTGTTTCCTGTTTTCGGTCAGACCTCGTCTAGACTCTAGACACCACAGCCGGGTTTGGTTAGTGGTGCAACCTGTCGGGACGCCAGTTCCAGGAAAACACGGCGTGACTGCGGGTTCACTTCTCATTAGCTGGTCAAGCTTATCTTGCATGCTCTCCTACTGTCGCCATGGAAACCATACAGGGTAGCCAAAGCAGATGCACGGCCAAACAGAAATGGTTAAGGACAGCTGGGATATCGAAAGGAGAAGTGAGAAGGGGAGGTTAGAGAAGACTGCGGTAAGGTCGACAGTAACTGCGCAGGAAGTTCAGTCATCATATGACAGGTGGAAGAGAAGGAGACAACATAATCTCGGATCAAAATAGCTTTCTCATGTTTTGATTGAGCATGAGGGTAGAAATAATAGCAGCGCTGATGCACGTGCAAGGTAGATTTACAGCCTGATCCACACCTCTGCCGGTCTGGCACTCAACACACACCCTGTGTCTCGCTAACAAGTACAGCAATCAACACACAACTAATGCCACCCACACCCTGTCTGAGTGTATGCCCTGGGCATTATCTCAGCTTGTTAGACAGCTCGGCAACATGGCAGAGGGTGTGGATATACGGCATCATGAAACATAGAAGCACACCACCATATTCCGGCACCAGCAGGGTCAAACGGTGTGTGTTTGTATTTGTGGATGTGATTTAAAGCCCCCTTTTCCTCGAGCCATGTTCTTCATTTCTGTCCATCTGTTGTTTGGTCTATCTTGTTGTAACATGTAGCCGTTGGATCTCAGCTTCAAGCTACATGCGCTAACGTGCACTCGCCACCGTGTTTGCATACGGAAGCATATGCGCCTGCAGAGTGTGCGTACGCGCGTGTCTGTGAGCGCGTGTGCGGTGGCGAGTTTCACAGCAGCCTTCCTCTGTAGTCGCAGCCAACAGAACAGGATTAGGTAACCCAGAGGTGTGTTACAACGTGTGCACAGTACAGCTGTATATAGACGGGGTTAGCTAAGAAGCAGTGATGTCATCCATTCATAAGTCATTTAGCCTCAAACAATAGTGTTCTTAGATTGACACATAAATGACAGTAGATGTCCTCAACTATGTACACACTGAAGCACACCTTTAAATAAATCATACCGCTCTTTAAACGCGGTAACTTTCCAGGCACATTCGTCACGCCTTGTTTTTTTCTTGTTTTGTTTATCTGACACAGCAGAAATTTGACTTCTGAAGATGGCCAAGTCATCAGAGTAACCATCATCTTTTACTCATTAAAGGAGCAATGTGTAGTTAAAAACACACTGGCTTTTTAAATTACTTCTACAGTCCACATTTAAAACATTAGAGAGCCCTGTCTCTGATGGGTTGCCATTTCACAGACATGAAATTTCAGGCGTAAAATGAGGCTGAAACTGTACTTAAAATCCTTTGACAAATGTTGATAAGCTATAACACGTTTGCATAAACTGTCAATGTAAGTTTTATGCTAAGCTGGACTCATATCCATTCATTTGTTAACCTTGAATAACTGATGATACTTTTTATTAACTTTTAATGTGGAGGTTTATTGAGAAAATGAATTATAAGATTCCCCTGACTTTACTGCAGGGACACAGCGCTGTGAGAGCAGATATACGTGGAGTTGGGGAGCAGATCGCCAGCTGTTGTACATGAATGATAATATTAAAAGCGAGTTTTTGCTGAGCCAAAAGATCTATATCACTAAAAAGAGCCTGAATTCCCATCACAAGGAGCATCTGCACTGAGGTTGTTAATCTGAAAGAAGAAAGATTCCAACTGGACTCCGACATGAATCACAGTCAACTCGATCAAGAGCACATGGCCCTTGTAGATTTGGGGTAATCCGTGGATCTTTATGGATATGACATGTCTGGAATGTATCTTACACCAGACTTGGATCTTGGGGACACTGTTGCAGAAGGAAGGCAAACCGTCAGACTTGAAACACATTAACTTTAGTATAAGTGTGAACAACAGAATAAGAGGATTTATGGTTATCAAAGTCGAAAGCTTTTCTAACAGATTAAAGATTAACTTGAGTTTAAGTTTTAATTAACCAGCTGGTCTGGCTCATGATTAGCAGTTAGCTCGTGTTAAAAGTAAGAGCCAGCTGATGCTTTAACAACTGCGATCATGTAGCCATGTAAAATTAGAAGTAAGATTTTTGCTAACCTGTCAGCTGTTTGATTATCTAAATCATCTGTGCACTAATCTCTTGTATTTTTCAAAAACATCTTTCATATGTATCCATGTTGTGTCACATTTCTAAGAAAGTAGGGCAGAATCAGTTCGTGGTGTCTTGGACCAATTTTTTTTTTCCCCAAACTGGTCTCATATCTGGCGACCCAAGGGGCGTCCAAATTGGTTGTGCGGGGTGACTCAAAACTGTCGACCGAAACATAAAACAGACCATTCAGTTTTAGAATCAGAACTTTTAATGGAAGAAATGCAGGCTGCCATAAAACAGCTGAACACTGAGCTGAGATTAATTCTACAATAAGCAGGACAGACTGTTACACCGCAGAAACACTTGACATCCACGTACAGTAAGTATAAACAGATATCTCTCAACCAGCACACTTTGTATGACGAATGACACTTACTGGGCTTCCTTCTGTTTCGTCGTGTTACCATGGTTACATGCTGTAGAGACATTGCAGAGGGGATGTAATTGGACAAAAAAAAAAAAAAAACGTGCTTTTAAACATAAATTTTTACTCAGGATGCAACAAAAAAGTATGAAAAGTGATAATAAAAGAAGCAGAAAACTTAAGTTCCTCTGGCGGCAAGGAAACCCTGTTAGAGCCTGTACCAAAATACCCATTTTTATATAGCGGAATTAATAAGAACTTTCAGTCTCTGTTTGCTCCAAAGCTAAAGGGTTACTTCACCACCTCTTTGTCAAACCAGTTCCTTCAACTGATGTTTGTGGGCTTCATAACTCCTCTTCTAAGGGTTGAAGTGACTGAGACTACATCCATATTTTATACAGTCTGTGTAAAGCACAGTGAATACTGAGCTCCACAGGAAAGATTCAGACACTGACTTTGTATCAACGCACTTTTCCCATTACCCACACACATTACAACAATAGAAACCAACAACAACGTCTTTCCATGGACGCAGAACAGTGTCGCTCGGTCTGAAAGTCATTCTGTTTCAAAAGAGTGAGCAGGGTCTTGATTTATCAGGTAAAACCGCCTTTTATTGAAGAAAACAAGCAGCATGTGGCCAAAAGTGGCCTTCATCAGGGTATTAGTTTGCAGACAGTGTGCACGTCTACTGTGTCTGGCAGTGACCTCAGGAGCTATTTCTGGGATCCTATCTTGGTATCCCTCTGTAAAAGTCGATCATAGTCAGACTCAAACTGTCAGACTATCCAGACAAAATTTATAGACGTTTTACCTGAAATATTTGCAGGATAAATCCAGCGTTTATTTTGGAAAGTTTACAGGCCTCTTTGTATGAAAGTATTTGAAGTCCAGTCCTGATTCAACAGAAGAAGGGAAGTATTATGTAATGTCACTAAGAGAAGTGTTGGTCCTGACGCTAGCCCTGCTGTTGCTATGCAACAATTGGAAACCAAATTTAAGTTAAAGCAGACATAAATTTAACCTCTGTGCGTCATTAGTATACTGATGAGACATTTTCCCTCTCTCTGTATTCATAACTGTCTCTTCTTGTAGCCAGCACTATGATTTCAAGATGAGAAATACACAAGTATGCATACGTTTGAGTAATGAAGTCAAACTGAAAGAGTGATGAAGCCTCAGCAGGACATTTAAATGAATAATAATGTTTTTCCAGCTGCCTTCATTGAGTCACTCAAGGTGTTGCTGTCATTGGGTGTATTTTTTCCATTTAGTGCTGTGAGATCACAGCCGTCCTAGTTTCTGTGGCTTTTTTTTTGTTCCTGATCAAATGCCTTATGAGTAAAAATACAATAAATGGAAATCACTCAGAATCCCAAGGTTTCCCTGCACAGCGCTCTTTGTTTCTATATGATGTAACCAGAGATCTGGCAGCTCAGAGCTGTGACAGAAACAGTTTCTTTCTGCGTGTTATGTTGTGACAGCGACAGAGCTGATGGGACACTTGATTATATATGAGTATACATTAGACCGTTTTGAGCGTATTGAGTAATAAAAGTGCACCCTGGACTCCCCAGAGAACTCATTATGAGGAAGTCCCGCTTGTCACAGCTCTTCTGCTCTGGGAACGTCAAGACTCGAGTTCCCACATCAAACAGCCCCACTGTCACCACACCCGTCTGAGCTTAGTGAGGAGCTGACGTCTGCATGATAGGAGGAATACCATTAAGCTTACAGCGTGGAAATAACAGACCAACTGGCGCTCAATGTAAATAGTAGCATCGGACAGTAGTAATGTTTATTATATCACATAAATGAAGTTTTAAAAGGCGCTATAAGGAGTTTTGAACTAGTTGAGAAAGTGACAAACTGTTACTGATGATGGTTAATGACCTTCAGGAGCAAAAGAGATGGTACGCAACAAGGCTATCGGATGATTGACAGCAAGCTGATAAAAACAGCTTTTTAATGTTTTTCATGACAGTTGCTCACAGTGAAATGAATGTTGCCGACCTTTTGCTTCTCTATTTATTCCCACTTTAGTAACGACCACACGATAGCAATACACAGCGGTCTCAGGAGCCACACACAAACCTCAACCAAAACGCCACTCTATAGCCACAACTAATGCTCAGAACAGCACCAAACTTCATCAACAGTACATATAGGGTCCCAGCCACAGTTCTAGCCACCAAACATCTTTTTAACTTTGCCTCATTTCTTTAGCAAAGAGACTAAACACAACTCACCCACTCTCTTCCAGCAGCCGCTTGTTTGTAGCGAGACCTCAGGCCAGTCCATTAAGGACTACAGCGGGGTGACACAGCTCAAGGAAGAACATTTATGATCATTTCTTTATCATTTTCTTGAAGTAATAATCACCATATCAATAATTTTTCACTGCAGACGCGGTAGTTCTTCTGCCTTAGCGTCTCGGTCTGATTGCATTTCCATGAAGAAATTATCATAAATGTTCTTTCTGATACAGTAGAATTAAACTTTGGTGGCATTGTTTGGTTTGAATTTATGCAGTAGAATGGCATCTTGAACAAAATGAAATATAAGAATATTTACCAGTTTTTTTCCACTGATTCTGTGGATTTAAACCCAAAAAAAGTCTTTATTTTTCAGATTGCCTCTCTCAAAACAAAACAAACAAAAAACACCAAAGAGTCGGTGTGGCATGAGTGCCTCTTGAAAGTTGATTGCAGATGATTAGTAACAAAATCCCTCCATTCAGCTCTGCATGTTTACTCATAAATAAGTTATAAAGCAAAATAATCTTACTTTGAATTCATGTTTCTGTTCTTCTGGACCATTAAGTCCAATACTCTCTCTCTTCTTGCTCAGCTCGAAGTATAATCATGATTAACATACTAACTTGTCATTAATCATTTCAAAGTGAGATGAGTCAGCGTCACTGCTCACCACCCCTGTAATCATGTTTGACGTTGCATCATCACTTATAATTAAACGGAAACTTGCCGTCTTTTCTTGCATGTGTTTGTCTTAACGTTACGCTGTATGTACACTACCCATAATGATACTAAAAGTAAACACTTTGTCGTCCATTAGCAGTCTGACCTTACCGTGTTAATGAGCACCGGGGCAAGAGGGAACACGCTTGTTTGAAAGCCTCTCCTGCTTAGCCAGTGTAGCAGCTGCAGCAGCGACGCATGCATGTGCAACGTTGCACATCCTGAGATGTGACTATCGTGCATATAAGTTACAGCTGCAATACTCCAACAATATACTGTTAATCCTTGCACAGCACATGACTATATGTTGCTGGTTTGGTTTCATTTAGTGAGATAATGACACAAAACATTTGAGGAAGTTCAGTAAAGGAGGGGGCCATTTATGTTTTTCTATGATCTCACCTATTTGTGAGCATTTGTACAGATTTTACTCATCCTGTTGCAGGTTTAACGGGAAATCTGACTTTATCCATATTTGTGCTTCTTCCTCTTTCAGTCTAGTGAAAGGCATGGTTGACAATATGAGAAGCAGTTGAAAAAAAACTGAGCCGTTGAGGCAGATTTTAAAAAAAGCGTCCCAGCCCACACAAAAACCTCTCCCCTCTGTGCGGCACGATAACTCTCCCCAAAACCTGTATCGCCTCCCCACGACAAACCCCCTCTGGCAGAGCAAGAAGCCGGCCGGCGGAAGATCCTACGCTAGCTTTAAACAGCGACTAGCGGCAGTAAACGTGAGCATCGTCTGCAGCTGCGTGGACAGCTACCATGTTGACATAACGAGAGACTAATAAGAGTTATTTTTGTTACACGTACCTGTTCAACAAAAACTCTTTGTGTCCTGTTTTTGCATCCTTCTCCATCACAGCTCCCGTAGCTAAGCTGCTGCGCTACTTTTAGCCACTCAGAGTTCCGATAAGAGCTGGGAGAGTGGAAGGTAGTCAGAATTACGGGAGAGGGGTGTGTCAAATACAGCGAGGTGATTGGATGGAGAGGTGGAGCAGAAGATTTACCAATAGGAGCTGTCCGGGATGGTAGGGGAAAGTCCCGCCTCCTTTGTCTCTGATTGGCTAGAAAAGCTGAAAACGCCATCACACACTCAAGCCAAACGCAGGCTGTCAGCGATGATCATCCAACAGAACATTATAGCACTTCTGAATCTCCTAACCCTAACTCTTATCCTAACCCTAACCTGACAGACGATGACGTTTCACCGCCATAAGGAATAATCAATTGGAGCCCAGCACTTCTAGCCAATCAGAGGCGAAGGAGGGCGGGACCTTCCCCTACCATCCTCAAAAAAAAAAATTCACGTCTGGGACAGATGGCTCCTATTGGTCAATGTTTTTGTAGCCCTGCACCTGCTAGGGTGAACATTTATTTTTCCGTTCTTTTTTCTCTTCACTTTGTGGAGATCGCACTATAGGACCATGATCGCCATATAAACGAGGTTCATAATAATTACCAATCTCTCCCATCGTCAACCATGTCTTTAAAGCTGATCTTCAGTCACGAGGACTAATACAGCCTCAGAGCTGGTATAAAGAGTATTTAACAAACCTCCTCTCTGCTGTGATCTAACACTGGATATTTACAGTCGGTACAGTCGGGAGCCTGTGTATCCCTCTGCCTCCCCTGACGCTGCCCTTCCTGCATTGTTTAATAGTACCAGTTGTATGCCCATCTGTGCACGGGGGCCCACTGTCAGGGGGAAGAGCCAGCTAGCATGTTTACCAGCCCCACGGTTTGTTTTTGGCCTTCACCATGTGTGTACAGTATTTGTGTGTGTGTATACAGGGATATACAGTGTGCATAAAGAGAGCCTTGATGTGTGATGGTGAGCTCGCTCGCCAGGATGAAAGCCCGCCGTGTTGACTTCCAAGATTTCAGATGTTTACGTAGAAAATATTTACTATCGGGATTAGCTCTTTTCCTTTCTCTTTCTCTTGTGAACTGATTAACACGCACAAACACAAGCATTTGCTTAATCCCCCCCTACGCATGTGGCCTCCATCCAAATGAACATACATTAATATATCTGCTAGACTTGTCAGGTTTGCCCACTCACTGTGCTTCCTTTAGGATTCTACATTTGGATTTGTCTTCTCTCTCTCTCTCTCTTTTTTTATTCGTGCAGCCTTTGAAAGTCCTGGTATGTAATGAGAGTGTCTGTTATTGTTTTTCTTTCAGCTGTTGGAGTCTTCAGATGTTAAAGAAGATGCAGTCCTCTGCTGTTCCATGGAGGTATGGACCACGCAACACACAAGCGGTTCTCTCCTGTGTGTCTGTGAATGAAAGGATGAGGCTGATTTTAACAACAAACTTACAGCAAACGGCAGAACAGCTGATGCTAGTTAACTCATTTTAACACAGAGCCGTCATTAAAGCTGTGCTTTTTATTAATGCAGCAGTTTCGAGCTTTCTTTTTCAAAGTAATGCGAAAGTAGAATTATGGATTATGAAAAGGCCTGAACTTGTTTTTTACCCAGTTGCAGGATACGTGTAAAATTTTAAATAGATGTCGACAAAACTTGAAATAAAACAATGAAAACTGGCTGAAAAAAAGAGAGGAGAAAGGACGAAGAGTTAAGATGAAGTAAGAAGAAGCATAGCACAACCAGAAGACTCACACTCACAGACACACACACACACGCAGCTCTATGGCCAGAGGGTGTGCAAACCTCTGCTGTTTGACAGTATCCACAGTAACAAGGTGCCAGACGTTGTGTTTTACTCTTACTGAGGGACACACACACACACTTTATCTCTGACCTGCTGCCTCCTCACATCACACCCTCCCTCTCTTTCTTTCTTTCTTCCTCCCTCCTTCCTCTCTCCTCTGTCCTCTTTTCCAGCTGCAGAGCATGGGGCGCCTCCTGGAGGAGCAGCTCCCGGAGATGATGATCGAGCTCCTGGCCGCCGTCAGGGACAAGATGCTCTGTCCGGCCGAGTCCCAGCTGACCCGCTCGCTGCTCATGGAGGTCATCGAGCTGCACGCACATCACTGGAGCCCGCTGGAGGCTCTCACCACCCAGTACTACAACCGAACCATCCAAAAGCTCACCACCACCACCTCGACCACTGCCTAGGTGCAAGCTGCCTGGGAGGAGAAGAGACCAGACCCCCCCACCCCCAGGGATGAGCTTCAAATAGATTTACCAAAACACAGAAATATAAGAAGCAGCATTTCTCTTTAATCTTAATAATTTCAAGCTTTACATGAGGGTTGATTTTCGAATTCGATCATTTCCCTACAACCACTGCCTAAAACTCACCACACATCCCTTTAAACTGGGAGTCCTGGGCTCTTAAAGCGACACTACATGTGGTGCTCAAACCCTGAAAAAAAGGGTCTTTGACACATATTCAAGGAAACAGTACAGGGTGACTGGCCAGTAGGGGCGTTCTTGGCCACACAGAGTCCTAATGCTTGTCTGGCAGAGGGATAAAAGATCGGAGAGGGGTCACCCAGGGGGGAGAAGGATAGGGGGAGAGGGCAGCAGCAGCCCGCCCGTAGGGAATACAGAGATCTCTACCCAAAGATGAATGGAGGATGGAGAGAGGGGTAGGGAGGAGGGTCGGGGTAGTCCGTGTCAGTCTGTTCATTGTGCTCATTTACCCCACCACCCTCCCCCCTTCGCTCTGTCTTTCTCTCCTCCCCCTCCTCTGTCTCTCCGTCAGCCCCTGGGGTCTGTGTGGCTGATAAAAAAAGGAGCAGGAGGAGGAGGAGGAGGAGGAGGCAGGGGGCAGACACGGTGCTGTCTGTCTGGGCCGTCTGCCCCACCGCCAGGCCAGGGGGGGACCAGGTCAAAGGGCCTCGCCGTGGAGCTCCCTACCCCCCCAACTCCCTAAGCGCCCCCCCTCCTTGCCTTTGTCTCCCCTAAACTCCCCCTCCGACACTGCCTCACCCCCCCAGCAGGAAGCCTTTTTATGGGGATGAGACAGCGAGCCTGCTGGGCCGGGCTGGGCCGGGGATAAGGATCAGGCCGGCTGGAGCAGGGCGGCAGATGGCTGCTTGAGCCCATGTGAGACGACACACCCCCTCTGGCACCCCGACTCCCTGAGCTTCGGGGTGGTGTCACCCACTGAGAGCAGGATGGGGGTGCAGCATTAGAAAAGCATTAAATCAGACAGTGCTGATAATTCTTTTGTTTTCGTCCTAAAGGGGAACGTCTCTTCTCCTCCGTTAAGCCGTGCATGTCCACGCTTTGTTAACCGCGTCATCGATATTATTATATTGTTATTTTTTTAATCATTTAGTGTTTTTACCGTCATTTCATGATGAAGTCTTGTTTTTACTCTGAGGTGTATGGATGAGGTGTTAGCGGTAGGTAGGCCTTATTGCACAGGTGTGATTTCTTTTGCACTGTTTGGAGGAAATTTGCTTTAAAAATTCACGAAAAGAGCGAAAGTTTGAGTTTGAATCAGTGCTCGTGGATGAATCTAGGATACTTCTGTAGTGGGAGATGATGTGCTGAAGGATTTTAGGAAGTTTTAACAGACTGTGGCCTTGTTGATCCTACGTTTTTATAGGCTCTCTCTCGTTTCAGTGGAGGGCATGCTGAGAACTAAACAGCTGGACTTATTTACATCTTTCTGTTGCTGAAGACAAAAAAAAAACACACACATCTGAAGAGGAAAAAAAACATTGATGTGATGACAAAAAGAAGAGCATGGCACACGGAGAACCCGGCGACGTTCTCCTCCTCAAGCCATTCTTTGCAGTGGACATTTTGCAAGTGTTTCATAAGGACTGTACTTGATCTTGCTTTTGTTTTTTTTGTTTTTGTTTTTTTGAGGAAAACTACTATTAACCTGTGTATTTGAAGAAGACCGTGATGAAAAGAAGAAATCTAATTGTACAACCTCATTAGCTAGTCATACGTGGGACCTTCGTCCAGCTAACTATGATATTGACGTACCAAGCCAATCATGTACCATTTGTAAATGGGCTCTATATATTAATCTGCATTCAGTATATTTACAAGTATTTAAAAACACTGAGGAAGAGGAGGAGGTCAGCGCAACAGTGATGTCACACACAGGAGGAGTTAGAGGTCAGCCTTCTCATGCATTCGTATCAGGAACTAGCTTATTGTTTTCGGGGATAGTCGTCCATGCACATGTACGCACATGCATACACATACACATACACATGCCTAGTTTCCCATTGAATCTCTGTGGGCAGTTTTAAGTGTTTTTGTATTATTTCTTTGTCTTGCATCAAGAATTATGATCCTGTGTGCTAGAAACACACTCAGAAGATCAGTTAGGAAAGAAGGGTGATTTAAAGCTCCGAATAATTTTTTTGGGAGGTAGAGCATTATCGTCTTTTACGCGCGTGTCTGCTTACCAAGTGATTTGTTTTAATGTTTGTCGTCTCTATTTTATTTCTAGGATTCTATTTAAATTATATTTAGCTCATTTATATGAATATATATGATTTTGAGTCTGGTGGGTTTCTAGGACTTTGGAGACATTTGTGATACCTAGCTTGCTGGCAAGTGTGTGAGTGCGGTATTACTGTGTTTTTAGTTTTTTGAAGAGGAAAAAAACGAAAGACCCACCGATGTGTTTCCATTATGCAAAGAGCCACTCGCTCTCACAGCAGATGGGGGCAGGTGGGGATCCCCTTTCTCTCCCCCCCCCCTCCTCACCACTCCTCGTCTGTGCCCCGCGTGCCCTTAGACCCCTCTGCTCGGGTCACATGACTCACTCTCGACGATTGAATGAGACGCACCTTCATTTGCATATTCTCATAAATATTGGAGGAAAAAAAAAAACAAGGCTCCGGTGAGCGCACAGACGAGATGTAGGTTGGTTGTAGTGGGTCATCAGTGAGCGCTTGTTTGTTTTGTTTTTCTAAGCAACTGAAAAATAAACTAACAGAAAAAAATAGAAGTGACCAGAAGGAGCGTGTGTGTTTTTAATTCTCTGTGTGTGTGTGTGTGGCATCATAAAGAAATCCACCCGTCACAAAAGACAGTTTCCTCTGCCGTCAACGTAAAGACTGCGTAACTAATCCCAGCACCGCAGTAGGTCATTATGCGAACAATTCATACACAAGCACACTGGAAGTCCTCATCTACATGTCTTCGCCTTTACACCGTCACACATTATACACACCACGCTTCAGAATTGTAACCACTGTGTGTGTGTGTTGTAGGTCGCCCTTGGCCTGTGGTTAGCCCTGACACACGCCTGGGGCTCCCCCGATTGTGGGCGTCCCGACGGGGACTCTCAGTGCCGGGGTTGCCTCCCCGCTGAGGACCCTGTTACTACAACCTATAGAACGTCCTTCAGCGCCCACTCATATCAGTCCACGTTACCCCCCTGAGTCTGAGTATCTGAATGAATGTATGAAACACTTTAAATGGAGCTTTGTGCTTCCTTGGCAGAGATGGCTGTATGGATGGTTCCTTCTGATCCCAAACAACAAACATCAACTATAAGCCACTCTTTTTTTATATAATCCCAGGGACAATAGATGATATTATACAGGAATAAGCCAACTCTAGCAGCATAAGCAATGTAAAGAGGAAGATTAATTCAGCTGGAAGATGAGGGGGTAAACCGAGTATGAGGGAAGACATGGCGATAGACAAAGCAGAAAAAAAAGCTGGAGGAGGAGACCTATGGATATTTATAGAAATGGCTGGATCTCAGGACAGTATGGGGGAGCCTATGGAAAGAGAAAATGCAAATGTTGGAGGAAAGACAGAGCCAGCCCTGGCTGACAATTAGCATCACGGTTAATTTGGCCCTGTGCAGTGAAAACAGACAGCTGAACAGGAATGTTCGCCCTCGGGGAGGATGTCGCACTGGCTAGCTTGGCTGCTGGAGCATAAACTGTGAGATACATTAGCTCCATCCTCAATTTATAATTTGATCACTTTACATCAAGTCTGTATTTGGATGAAGGATGAGTGACACAATGAGGAGAAGATTAAGAGACTGGAAGCAATGCATGGACTCAATGATGAGATGAAGGACTCCAGGCTGTGTGGTCTAATAAGCTGTTGCCATTGTGGATTTTTAAAACCCTTTCCAAGGTTAATGATGCGGACCAGCACAGAAATAATAGATAATTCAAGAGAAGATTAGCCTAATATGACATGCTGTGTTTCATAAAAAAGCCAAATATTCACCAGAGTGTTCATCTTTGTTATTAATGACGGCCTTTTTTCATGTTTATTAAACAGACTGAAACGATATCCAAGAGCGAACAAGACCATCAGCAACACGACTGACCAATACCGATATCTCATCATTGATTTTTATCCTTGTGAAAAAATCAATACAGTAATGAGAAACGAAATTGCTAAATTTGACTGAATATTTTAAAATTATATCACAAGGGGGGAATATTGAACTTATTAAAATATCGTAAACTCTAGGATTTCTGTCCAGCCATCTAAAAAAAAAGTGTCATATAGAAAACTCTCAATGAGCAATAGACGGCTATTAGACATCTAGTTTTTTTTTTTTTACCTAAATTCAACCGTCTAGATTCTGTATATTTTTAGACAGAATTGCACTTCAACCCATTATTTGATAACTATTTATTTCAAAAAGCAACTGTGATGGTCTCCAAGTACTTAACCAAAATAATTATGATAGCCGTTGAGCAATATACAGTGTAGTATAGATATAGCCCAGATTAGACTTGGTCTAAACTTGGTCTAAATTTAGATGTCTAAAAACTTTCATTTTTAGACCTGTGGTAGTCATCTAGGCTACTTCTAGACGTCTATTAGACCTCTTTTAGACCAAAAATGCTCAGTGGGCTATCATAACAATAAACAAAAAATGTTCATAGATGTCGTTATCTTGACCTCTAACACGTTAAAAATGGATTTTGATTCTGTAGACGTCATGGTAATATGCCCTTTTTAAGAGCCGATGCAGATATGAGGCGAATTATATCAAAATGCCCTAAATCTGACCAATTAATCGTTCTCTCTTTCTAGTTTCCTGTGTCAGAAAAACAGATTTTTTTTAGAGAGCAGTTGTTCATCACAAAGGTGGCGACAGATTCAAGCAACAGATTTATCAACAAATAATCAATAATGAACTTTAGTTGAACCTTAATACAGAGCGTCGAATCAGGATGGACTCACGGTGCTACATTCTGACTTGAGCTCTGCCTGCTCTCTCTGCTGGCTTTGGTGGATGAATGGATTTGTGTGCGTGTGTGTGTTTTTGTGTGTGTGTGTGTGTGTGTGTGTGTGTGTGTGTGTGTGTGTGTGTGTGTGTGTGTGTGTGTGTGTGTGTGTGTGTGTGTGTGTGTGTGTGTGCGTGTGAGTCACACCAGTGCCGTCCACTGTTGGAGCCAGACAAAAGGCGGCTGCATCTCAGCTGGCCTTGATGACGAACTAAAGCCGAGGAGGGAGGACGCTCATGCTAAGACGCTCTCTCCCACTAACTGAAACAACTCAAACGCAACTGTTTAAGTTTCTCACAGTGGACGTGTCTCACATCCCCACTCGTCTGATTGCTCACACACTGTTTTTTTTTTTTTTTGTTATTATTTTCTAGTGTATTTTTCGTGTTCGCCCTCTTTGTCTGCATAGTGTGTGTGTGTGTGTGTGTGTGTGTGTGTGTGTGTGTGTGTGTGTGTGTGTGTCTGTGTTTGATCAGCACACAAACAAACTAGAGGAGAGTGCTGCAGCTCCTCTTCTGTTTGGTCCGAGGGGTACCGAGGGCAGATACTGTATAAAACAAAGTGGAGTTAAAACACACACAAGCATCCCCAGATGTTTTCCTGCTGTACGCTCTGCTGTGGGAGAAATCAATAACTGTGGGCTACGAAGTGGTTTTAGCTCGCTCTCTTGACCTTTCCATCTCGGCAACAGCTACAGCGCTCCAGTTTGTTCCACTGCCCAAAAAACTGACTTTCTCTCCACTATATTTGGATTCAGACATTTCATTTGGACACCATGTACTCATTCTGCAGTCTGATGTTGAGTTCATGGCTACAAATTTTTTTATTCAAAGTACTTGTAATAGAACATCTAGTACCACCGTGTCTTTAAAAACGTCTCCAGCCAAGATCTTTAGTGGCTTTATTTTTTAATTATTCAATCCATCATTTTGTCTTTACTCCTTATTTTGGATCATTAAGAGTGGAAGGATTATTCCAGGCATGATTTCTGCTGTTTGTTACTCACACACACACACTCACACACTCAGGCGTGTTCGCTCCGAGAAAAAAAGTGAATTTCTAGGAAAAGTCAAAGTGAACCGGAGCGGAAACTGGAAAGCCATATTCCTGCTTCCTGGACTGGCAGAAGAGGAAATGATGTCATGACCTGCCCACTTCCTCAATGAACTGTTCCAGAGGCTGCAACAGTAAACTCAACAAGTTATTGGTTTCTGTGGCTGTCAATGGACTCAGTTTCAATGAAGGAAATTACAGCAACACACATGCAGGAGATTTATTTGGTAACACTTTATTTGGCGCCTATCTCTATAATGCATTATAATATATGTATAATGCGGTATAATGACATTATAGCACTGTATAAGTATAGTTATAAACACTCATAAATGATCATAATGCTTTATCACAATAATCGATCCATCTATTTTCTACCGCTTATTCCCGTTCCCTGGGTCGCGGGGGAGCGATCTTTGGGCGAGAGCAGAGGACACCCTGGACAAGTCGCCAGTTCATCGCAGGGCTGACATATAGAGACGAACAACCATTCACGCTCACATCCACACCTATGGGCAATTTGGAAGTGGCCAATTAACCTAACCCCACTTAAGCATGTTTTTGGGATGTGGGAGGAAACCGGAGTACCCGGAGTTAACCCACGCAGACACAGGGAGAACAAGCAAACTCCACTCAGAAATGCCCTGACCCTGATTTGAACTCAGGACCTTCTTGCTCTGAGGCGATCGCACTAACCACTACACCACTGTGCCACCCTATCACAATAATCTTAACACATTATACAGCATTTTATCATGACTTACAAGGTCAGGTATTATAATGTGTTAAAACTGTTAACTGTTAAGTCATGATAAAATGCTTTATAATGTGTTGTGATTATTGCTATAAAGCATTATGATCATATATGACTGTCTATAACTATAGTCATACAGTGCTATAACGTCGTGTTAACACATTATAAATAATGTGTTATAGATATAGGCCTGAAATAAAGTGTTACTGATTTATTTAATCTGATGAGAACACAGGGAATTATGGACCCCAACAAAACCAGGAACAATCTAAAAAAACACTTACTGATGGCTGGAAGAGCCCCAAAATCAGGGTTTAACATGAAGTCAGAGAAACAGCAACGTGTTGAAGAGACATAAACTTTTTTTGATTATGTAACTCCAAAAAAAGTTAATTTTCTTAAAGTGACAAGCTGTCCTTTCTTAAAAACACTGTTCTAGTTCTCTGGATCTACTGAGTCCTTGGTCCGATTTAGCAGAAAGGACAGATTTTGATGAAAGGAGGAAAACACCCTTGAAACAGTCAAAATGAAGCTCAATTCATTCAGATTGACATCCACAGGCCTGTGCTGTTTGTGCCATAGACACACCATACACACAACTTCAACTCCAATTTCTAGACCAAACTCGGGGAGATGTACATCAACGTGTTGAGGCTGGGAGTTGAACCTGCAACTAATCGATTGAGGGCTGCAGCTTCCACACGGGGCTGTTACTCCACCAAACAAGCCAAACTAAAGCCCCTCACCTGAAGTTTCTTGTGAAATCAAAAATGGGATGCAATGACATGCTAAAAAGAAAAGTCAAGGAACCAACAAAGTGGGTTAACTCTACCTTCTGCATGAACAAAAACGACTCAATAAGATGCGCTTTTAGAGAATAACGCAGCACCAGCATATCTTAGCAAACTGCACGCCATTTCAGCCGCACGAATGCAATAAACACAGCATGACTCCCATGTTGTTTTTGCTTCAGAGAGGTGTATTACACACATTGATGTGTGTTAGTGACAGGTCTTAAAACAGCACGCCTGTAGTTTGAGGGAATATGACGTCTTTGTTGTCCAGGAGCATGTGTGCCCTCACAGTGGCCTGGCTGACAAGTGTGCTGCAGTCGGCTATTCTCACTTTGTTGCTGCCAGCAGAAACACACACGCTGCCAACACACACAGACGGATCCTCATACAAGGAGAGAGGAAGAGGAGGACGAAGGTGAGAGGAAGGGGGGAATAAAGACGGAGAAACTGTAATGAAGAAAACTCCTGTGGTTAAAGAGAGGGGGAAACAAACCGAGGGAAGAGATGAGATCGGTTTCTCTGTGCTTTTATCTCTCTTACAAGTTTGTCTGAGCTAAATGCTGTCATTTGTGAGGTAGCGTGAGCATGTGTTTCTGTAAGTGTGTGTGTGTCTGTGTGTGTACGAGTGTCATTTCCTAGCCTGACCAGACCAGCCACCCAGAAGTGTGTCTTCCTTTGTAGCTGACAAGCCAGCATGAGCAAAGCTTCCGCTGTGAGCTGACCATTCAAGCAGAAATCAACATACAAACACACACACACGCACACACACACACGCCATAATTAGAGACAGGAGAGAGGGTAGGACTTACTGAAGCAGAAGTGAACACACACACACACACACACACACTACACACTCACACACACACTGACTGCAGTGGTTGGAGGCCGATGGAAGTGTCCGCAGACGAGCAGCGGGAAGTAACACCTGATGTCTCTGTTGCCGGGCTCCCGCCTAGCAACATGTCATTGTGGCAACTTGCTGCGACAAGCACGACCCTGTTGCCAGGCAACCCGAACTTCTGGGACAGACAGTTTGAAAGTTGGGTTGAGAGCGAGAGATGGAAAACCGTAGAGTTACGAAAAAGAATCACCAGAGTGAAAAGTGTCGGAAGGTTTGTGAAAGTTTTGTAAAGAAAGCAGAGAAACACAAAAACATCAGAGTGACATTTCACCTCGGCTCTGACTGACCTCCTGATCCTGCAGACCCTCACGCCTTTGTTTTGTGCATGCTATGTGAGCGGTCCTCACTGTATATACTCTATGTGTGTGTTTATGGATCACATAGACTCTAGTACAACCTAGAGATGCTACAGTTTAGTATCGGCCGATACCGATCCAGTTCCGATACAGAAAAGCTGCGCTGAATTACCTTTTGTTATACCTTGAAGTTGGAACGTTGGAACGTTTTACTGCGCAGGTATTGCAAGTGGCCATCGAGCTTGTAGGCTGAGGTAGTGTGATAAAGTTCAAGATAGCAGACCCCTTTGCTCTCTCCATTTTGAAAACAATGTGGGCATCCGCTCAACGTGTTTGATTGTTGATGCCACTCACGGCACTTTGCATAGAGTTCGACTAATTAGATTGGCCCCTATGCATCGGGCTCATTGTCACGATACCTTCAGTACCGGGACTGATGGCAATATCAAATATCGGATCGGGGCATCCCTAGTACAACACATTTTTCTCTCCTACCAATGCACAGACTCACTCATGATCATCTCTTTTCAGGTGCTGCTGTAATACATGCGGTTTGTTTGGTTTCACCATGTGGACATAAGTTTCATATAAACCAGTCGAGTGTGTCTGTGTCTGTCTGTGAGGGGAGGCCTCAAGGGCTCTCTTCAGGCACACTTGCTTAAGTTAAGAAAGTTGCTCTTTCAGCAAGTGCGCCTGGAGAGAGCCCTCCAGGCTTCCTGCAACACATTTCTCTTCAACAGACAGGGCCAGACTTTCACCTGGAGTTCACCAGAGTGAGCGCAGGGTAACAGCTCTCTTTGTCTCATAAACACACACATCTGCACATCTTCACTCATTATGATAGAAATATCGCTGGACTCTTCAAGCTTAATGGGATATTCTGGCCTAAAATTAAGTTGGGGTTAAACACACCGTAACACCGAGTTAGACACCCTGTCGAGAGATGAATGTTGCAGACCGCTTGCTTCTCTAGTTATACCAACTTTAGTAACGACCGCAGGATAGCAATACAGAGAGCCACATGCTCAACCAAAACGCCACTCTATAACCACAACTAATGCTCAGAACAGCACCTAACTTCATCAACAGTACATACAGGGCCCCGCCATAGCACTAGCCACCAAACATCTTTTTAACTTTGCCTAATTTCTTCTTTCACACAACTCACCTACTCTCTTCCAGCAGCCGCTTGTTTGTACGGAGACCTCGGGGTGACACAGCTCAAGGAAGAACATTTCTGATCATTTCCTCATGGACCGAGATGCTAAGGCAGAAGAACTACGACAAAATGATTAATATGATTATTAACACTTCAAAGAGGATAAAGAAATAACCATAAATGTTCTTCCTTGAGCTGCGTCACCCCGAGGTCTCCGTACAAACAAGTGGCTGCTGGAAGAGAGTAGGTGAGTTGTGTTTAGTCTCTTTGCTGAAGAAATTAGGCAAAGCTAAAAAGATGTTTGGTGGTTAGTGCTATGGCTGGGACCCTATATGTCCTGTTGATGAAGTTAGGTGCTGTTCTGAGCATTATTTGTGGCTATAGAGTGGCGTTTTGGTTGAGAACGTGGCTCTCTGTAAAACTAGAAAAGCAAGTGGTCGGCAACATTCCTCTCTCGATGTGTGTTTGACCTTAACTTAATTTTACGCCGGAATATCCCTTTAAAGGATAGTTCCACTTTACTAAAGCTGTGACGCTAATGCAGGTGGACACATCCTCCACTGATGGTGGACTGTATCACAGAGCGCCGTTTTGGCAGCGAGACTACACTCCCCGGAAACTTGTGGGCGTCTGACACTCAGTCAAAATCACCCTGACTCACACACACCACAAGTGTTCACACAGTGCCAATAGTAATGGAGTTTGGACAGTAACAGTTATATTTAGTGTTGCAGCAGTGCCACTGACTTACTTTCTGAATCACTCTCTGCCATTATTAGGAATGTCAGGTAGTGCTAAATCTTTTTTTTTTTACTGCTTGTTAGAGCAGCTGAAATGTCAGTGACTACCTTCACACTCACCTGAACACACACTCACAGCTCTGGATATGTCAGTGTGTATTTAAAATGATTATCACAGCACATGGCTCCAAGCCTATCCGATACATTTGTACTGAATCTTGGAAGTGGCATGTAGTATTTTATTCGAGCCAAACTTTAATCCTACACCCACATGTTACATTTGAATATGCTATTGAATTTGTAGGTATAAAATAAGAGACACTTCCACACGCTATGCCAAATATGTAAGAAGAAGACGTGACTCGGCCTGACAACCTCCCAGACTCTCTCAGCTCCTGGAGGCTCCGAGCATTGTCTGTGTCTGCGATGTTTTGTGGATTTTGTGACTAACCTGTTGAAATTGACTGACTGGAGGTGTGATGTGATGCAGCCATAAAAATAGAAAGCGGCGAGTTTGTCGAACAGCCAAAGCTGTCCTGTGGAAAGCTTTTCAGATGCACTCAGAGAGGTAAGCTGTAGGAGGTGAGAGCTGTCGGGCTGAAAAATGAGCTATGTTTAGTTAAAGCTGGTCAGGTTTTGGATCCAGTTGTGATTAGGAGATATTGAAAAGACACTTAATCAAGGTCGTCACTTCCAGATAGGTGAAGTATAGGTGCTCCAAGGAAACTTAGCTGAGGTGATTTTATTTTAAGCAAATATTTGAATAATTCCTGAAAATTCTTGGCCTGAATCTTTCTTTCTTTCTTTCTTTATTTATTTGAACATGATAAAAATAATGATGAAGTAAAAAAACAAAACAAAAAACAAGGCTTTATGAGAAGAAAATAATAGTAGTAATAATAAATTTTAAAAAAAAAATTATAAATCAAAGACAAGCCTAACAGGCAATAATTGGCCAATATCATGATCATGTTCGAAATCTGAAGTTAATAGTTGAATACGTTTTTCGTTCTCGACACAAGGGTTAGGCAAATTTATTGTGTTTCACGCCACTTGCAAGAGGATAATCCTGTACGTCACACATTAACTGACCACTTAGGTTACTTCATGGTAATTGTAGTGACACAAAAGTCAAGAAAAACACACACCATATCTCACCTTCAGCACTGGGTCGCACCAGCCACTGAGATTCAAGCAGAGCCTGAATTGAACATGATTTTTTATTTAAGACAGACTTAAGCTCTGTGAACTTTTTCGCTGAGATCGTTCCAGTGTAAACGTCTCACATCTTAAAGTTAACATCTGGCGCTGAGTGGGTGGGAATCTTACATAAAATACTTTGGTCATGATGCATTGTTTTGAAAAATAGGCTAATCTGGAGGATAAGGAGGAGGAGCAGAGATTTCTACCAGCTGTAATGTGTGTGCAGCGTGTTCTCCAGGATAGATTACATCAATCAAAAATGTATGATGACTCTGATCTGAGCAGAGATAATAACTGCACATCTATACAATAATACAGTACTACATACACATGTTGTAGTAAAGGATATCGCCGCTCAATATCAATGTAATTTCATAAACCTCATATCTGCAACAAAGCTTTGGTTAGTCTAGGTGTTATGCTCTACTAGTGAATATTAACCTTTCGTCCACATGGTGCAGCCAAACTATGACAAAACTTAAGTCACAAACTAACTTGTTTCAACATTCACCGCACCAGATACGACTTATAAAATCTGCTTTTTTGGATTATTTTCTTTGTTTTTTAATTTATTTTAATTTATTTATCTTGCATGTTGCATTAACTTTTGACAGATAACAACTTATTGATTGATCAGTTCATTCATGGATTTATCAAGATCTCTTTAAAACTGACTCTGAAACCTAAATTTAAAAGTTTTATTCAACATTTAGACCCAGAGGTAAAACAAACTGTAACCAAAATACTAAAAATAGAAAAGGTGGTAACGCTTTACTTGACGCCTATCTCCAAAGCGCATTATAAATATATCTATAATACATAATAAATTATCATAATGCTTTATAGCAATAATCATAACACATTATAAAGCATTTTATCATGACTTACCAGGTCAGGTATTATAATGTTATAACTGTTAACAACTCACTGATAATGCCCACATAGATAATGCAATGCAACTGTTGTTAACAGTCATAACACATTATAATACTTGACCCTGTAGGTCATGATAAAATGCTAAATAATGTGTTATGATTATTGCTATGAAGCATTATGATCATTTGAGTGTTTTATATCTATAGTTATACAGTGCTATAACGATATTATAACACATTACAAATATATTTATAATGCGTTATAGAGATAGGCGTCATTTAAAGTTTTACCGAAAAGGTTATTTATTTTTGGCCACAAAATATGGTAGAAATATATCTTGCTTATCGTTGCATGTGGATGTCGTCTATCAGAAAACTGAGGGCAGAAACTGTGAAGTGCTCATCTCCTTCCTCCCACAGTCGCTTGTAACTGTGAATCAGAGCCTCGAATCTGCTTTATTTGGATGTTTAAACCGTCCAAGGAAACTCTGAGATACTCGCTCACTGCTGGAGTTTTCCCGTCTTTTTTTTTCTTTTTTCGTCTTTCAACATTTGACTATTGCACAGCATTAGCCTGGGACTTTATAAACCGTTTTAATACTATCTAACTACACAGAGGACTGTTAATGAATGAAGCGTGGCTCAAGGCCAGTGGAAATGAATCAACTAAGAAGTGAGCTCAGTTAAAACCTCTAATTAGGTGCATTGTTGCAAATGTTTCAGTTCAGCGTTTCATTTTGGGTTTACTTGTACTAGCAGGGCTTTGAAGTGCGCTAACAAAAGAACAGTAAAAAGTGAATTAATAAACACCAAACAATTGGCCAGCGAGTGAATAATTCAGATGTCTTCATTATTTCTGTCTATTTCCACTCCAGCGGGTTAACTGCTCTGAAGTCTTTCATCTCAGCAGATCCAACGCTCAACGTTGTTCTCTTCTTGTTTTTATTTCACCTTCATCTTCTCCCCTCCCCCTCTCTCTTCCCATTTCTCTTTATTATTTTACATGTACACCACAACGGCATGCCCGCTCTGCCCCTACAAGCACACACCACCCAAAAAAAAACACATACACAGAGGGATAGAGGTACAGTAGGCGTCTCTACATGTGTAGTCTGCTGGTCTCCTAGTAACCAAAGTCAGTGCAGCTGAGCAGCTGTCTGCGGTTTTATTAGCTGCTGTCTGTCTGACTGTCTGATACCTCATTAGAGCCAATAAATCTGAAAACGCATCTTGATTTGCACCATGTTGTGTGATTTACCAAACAATAACACAGCTGACAGACTCGTAATAGAATAAAAGACGTATAGAAAATCTTACATGTAAATTTGTACCATCAGGATTTACACTTGGAGATGGCAGTGAGGAGAGATATCGATGACTTGAGTTTAATTTCATTTCAAGGATACCACTCACTTTAGTCCCAACTTGTTTGGAAACAGTAACTTCTGATTTCTTTGGGTAAAGGTTGCAAAAAAACTTGTAATCTTGTACTTTTTCCAGCATCATTTGAGGCAATAGACAAGGTCAAGATACACAACACGGACTACTGACTCATCAAAAAATAATCTCAGTGCAACAAAATACTCACGGCAAAAGCCTGCCAACCACGGCTGTTGGAAAAGCAGCCCAAAACTGAAATCTTAAAGTTAAAACTTGAATGTTTCTGACTGAACTAGAAAATAAAGACAGAACAAACTTGTTAGTATGTGGTGAATCAACAGACTAATCAATGCTGGTAGTACATCGGATTTGTCTGTGATACAATACAATACGATATGATGATATGATATGATATGATACGATACGATACGATACAATATGATATGATATGACACGATACGATACGATACAATACGATACGATATGATGATATGATATGACACGATACGATACGATATGATGATATATGATATGATATGACACGATACAATACGATACGATATGATGATATGATACGATACAATACGATATGATATGACATGATACGATACAATACAATACGATATGATGATATGATATGACACGATACGATACGATATGATGATATATGATATGATATGATATGACACGATACGATACGATATGATATGATGATATGATATGACACGATACGATACGATATGATGATATATGATATGATATGACACGATACAATACGATATGATGATATGATACGATATGATATATGATGATATGATATGATACGATACGATACGATATGACACGATACGATAAGACACGATACGCTATGATACACTTCATTTTGTCACCTTAGGGAAATTTGTCTTGGACTCAAGTGCTGTACATTCTCAACTGCATCCCAAAATTTTGGTAAAAGTGTTTTAGTTTTATGCAGAGCAAAGACAGCACAGATCCAAGCTAAAAGTACTGTCAAATTTGTTCTTGGGGGTCTGGATTTTCAGACCAGGAAGTGTTTAAGATTACATTGTATTTGCTGTCCAAGCAGTGCTGACCAATCATGTGTCTGCAGGTGTTGGTAGTTGTAGAAGGAACACAATCTCTCATAATCCCAATCAATGATGATCTGAGGCCCAGTTATTGATTTATCTCTATGAAAAGACAACTGTATGCATGTGCAACAACTTTGCTTAACTCTTTTTGAAAAAAAATATCAACTTCTAGATTATGAAACTCATAAACTGGATCAGAAATGGCTGGAAGGAAAGACTATTAAGATTGCATGTTTCTTCTAATCTTTCTACCTGTGTCATTTAGTCAAACTTAATCTTAAAAGTCATATTAAGGCACATGAAGTTAGCCTGAGTGAAACCTCTGTGTAATTTACCATCTACATGATAGCTGAGACTCACCAGAAACATATGAACCTGCAGAGGGATGTCATGGAAACAAAAAATGATAGTCTTTAAATTGCTCATGATATAGTTTCGTAGTGTTTCATTTCTTATCCTATTGTATCATTTTGTTTCTATTTATATCGTACCTTATTGTATCATTTCATATTGTATGGTATCATGTTGTATCATATAAGTTTGTTTCATATCATATTGTATCATTTTATTTCATATCATATTGTTTCATTTCGTACAATAACATAACGTAACATATCGTATCATATCATATCGTATTTTTTCGTTTTATATCATATCATACCATATCGTATTGCATTGTATTGTACAATATCGTATTGTATCACATCATAACATCACGTATCGTATTTTTTTGTTTCATATCAGAACATAACGTATCGTATTGTATTGTCTTGTTTCATATCATACCATAATGTATTGTATTGTATCATATCGTATTGTCTTGTATTGTATTTTATCGTATCGTATCATATTTTTTCATTTCATATCATACCATAACGTATCGTATCGTATGGTAACACAACTTTTTAAGTATCTAATTAGCCATGGTTATTCATTTACACATAACAGCTATTTCTCGTTCAGAGTAGATAAACGATTCATATAAATGTAAAACCAAACAGGTGCTTTTCCAACGCTTCTACTCCGTCACGTGTTTCCTACAGACCTCCTGCTGCTTTGATCGGCTAATGTGTCACAACGTGGGCTTACACGACAAAACACCACTGATGCCCTTTGGGAGACCCAGACACCTCAGTCTGTCCCCAGTCTGACTCAGTCTCACCTCCTCCCACACACATGCTACACGCTGACCCTGGAGCCCGGTGGCTCGAGGCTCACCTGTCACACGCTCTGCAGTGATGGCACATGGTGCGTGCTCAGACACACACACACCTCCACAGGCTTTGTATGATGTCAGTGAGTGGTCAGTGGGTCGCCCTGTGAGTCATGCCCAAACCGCAGCCAGTCCAGAGGGTAGCCAGCTTGGCGACAGCTATCTGGCCTATTATGCTTTTTGACAGTGAATGCTCCATTGTGCCGGGAATACAATTTGTGCCCACAGAGCTGAGATATCAAACACACTCACACACACTCTCACACTCACACACACACTTTTGTCCTCTTTATTTCTGTCTTTGAATTCATTCCATTTTCTGGTTGAATGAGGAAAAAAAAACTCTTTTTCCTGTGTCCCTGTGCGGAGCTTGAATGTAGTCTAACATCTTTTTATGAATCAAGCTTTTCTATATCATTTATCTCTAGATCATAACAAAAGTCATCTAATGACACAAACAACAGTGGTGATGAGATCTTCCCTTTGATAGGCAGGAATCGGAAGCAGACTTGTTAGTGCAAAGCTATCCAACCAGGATGGGATGAGAAAGTGAGGCAGTGTGTTGCTCTAGAAGCAGGTAGAAACCTTCAATAAAGCCAGACTTACAGGTGGAAGGCCATCTGCGATGAATGCATGGGACAGGAGAGTCGAAAATGAGATCAGAGAGTGTGAACGTAACACTCTCAAAATGTCATTTTTGTCATTCTTCATGAAAAAAGTAACTGTTTTTTTCACATGAACCATGAATCTGTCTTTCTTTCTGTTAACCTGGTTAAATCTCTCTGCTTAACCTGTGTTAAAAATATGATTTGTAGAGAGGCGTTGAATATCCATTACAGCGTTTTTATGGCTTCCTAAGGTAACGATGTACATTATCTCTCCTTTATGGCAATAATAACAGGTTTTATGAGATCAGATATGATACACACTCTATAGGATTTAAGTACTCTTCTTCCATGAGCGGTGCTTTTCATTAAATATGTACCTTTCCTGACATTGAGCCATGACTGAAATGCCAATATAATATATATGATAATTACCATGTGCGGGCTAGAGCAGTCATTCATTATCCGTCCTCCTAAGTCGCCTTGTTTCTAAGGTTGTGTAAGGAGATGTGCAAATGCTTGGCTTAATTTAATTTGCATGAAACACAAATGTAATATTTCAGTCAGAGCAGGAGTTTTCAGTAGATGTTACAACAGTGTGTGTGTGAGTGTGTGAATATTTATGTTTGTATGTGAGAGCCCCCATGGCTGCACTTCAGACACGAGGCCCGCAGACAAAGGGCCATTCATCGTCTCATTCATTCGGTGGCGAAGCCTCTCGGAGACACTGGGGCTGACGCCGAGAACGGCGGCTCCTGGGAGCAACAATAGTGACATTATTTGGTGTCAGCAAAACTACGGCGAGCTTGTGCAAAGAGTGACCCGGGGCTCTTGTTGGAGACACACACACACACACACCAAAAGACATGCCAGAGCGCTGGATGAGTTTGTGAATCGGTGTCTTGTGTGTGATACAAACCCACTGAAAAAGTGAGATGTTGCCGTTTGGAGAAGCGTTCACTAGTCTTGATTTTGATGCCCGTTTCTCGTGAGTAGGTGTTTAGATGCCTGTTGTCTTGGTAACAACATACTTCCCCTCACACTCAAGGTGATCGTCTTGATTCTCACCTTTTCACAAACAAGCATTGTTGTTTTGTGGCATGTCGGTAAACAGCACACGGTGCAACAATTCCTATTGCGAGTATAAACTTTACATCTCTGTAAAGCATCATTGAAGAACTGAAAAAGGTTCATTTCCCGGCTCTGTTGGTTTGTGCGTCATCTGTTCTCCCAAGATAGGAGAGTAAACACGCAAAGAAACCACATAGACGTGTTTCAGGCAACACAAACTAATTTGTTCGTAATTGCTTTGAAAAACTGCCATTGACTTTCCTCTTCTATTGATCGGTTTAAACTGTACAGGCCCGGCCTTAATCACAAATATGAGCATTATCTCCTCTAAAATCAGCCACATTGACAAACTCTTTAGACATGATTGATTTGTTTTAACTGATTTGTGTATTATTGATACAGCTAGTGCTATGTTGTGCTGTGCTTGTTAAGCTCAGACATTATTGGACTGGAGTGCTCATCATTATCGGTGCCTCTCCCAGACACATTGATTAAGTTATTGATAGGTCACAATGGAAAACAACTATTGTGGCTTACATCTCCCCTGGCTCGTGGTTTATGTCTTCTATAATGGCTGATTCTATTGATCTAAATTATTAACAAGGCATGCACACCTTATACATGTGTGCTACTGATAATATATAGCTGTGCTGCTGATATGGAGGAATGTTAAAGGGAGTAGAAAGTGGTTAGATGTAAACAGTATAGACACAATCATTTCACGCAGAGAAAATTAGACCTGCTTACTTTCATCTCTGTGCCACTTTAATCCACCTTTTCCTCCGCCTGCTGGGAGTATTTACAGTCAAACATGTGTGGGGAGTGACTGCCTGGCTGGTAATTAAACTCCAGTTTGTCTTGACACTAACCTCAGAGCCAAAGGAAACAGCAAAGTGTCAGAATTAACATACAGGTGTAAAAACCAGTTTGGCCCTCTGAGCCACAGGCTTGGCTGATGTATCCATGTCAACACAGAGATCGTACACTGCAGGCTCGCTTACAGAGGCTGAGGTGTGTTTCACTGTGCATTTGAAAGCCTTTTTAGTATGCTGACTGAGAAGTGACCCCACATCTTAAGCTGTGCACTCAAAAACCAGATGCAGCAGCAAGTAGATCACTGTTTTCTTTTCTCCGTAAAAATACATCTGGTTTTTGCCCGAATGTCTTTACTGTAAACCTTCAAAAGCAAAGCATCTTGAGATGTCACTATGATCTTTTGGGCCACTGGTGTGCATTTTCACACATTAAAAGCACCATGTAGAGTTTTGTAGTTGTTGTGAACTAAGACCACATCCTTTGTTAACTGTAAAAGTAACAATGACTGCGTGAAAACACCCTCTCTGTTGTGTTTTAACAACCAATCTCCTAATCCAGCGTCATTTTTTTCTGTTTGAAATTTACGAAGAATGGACTGCTGCCGCCACTATCGCCAAGAGTTGTGTATTATTTGTTCTTTTTTACTTCTTAAAGTGTTCTCAGTGGTCTTTAGCCTCCTAAGACCTGGCGTACACATGTGTGGACATCACATTTTTGGTTGTCAAGACCACAATATTAAGTTTTGTTCACAAGGGCCTTCTCTCAAAATTTAAAACGAATGTCCTCATATGTGGACATAATTTTTCTCAGAAACTACATCATGTAAAAAGATCATTCTTTGTTTTTACACTCATCAGGTCCCAATTAGCCTAAATATCAAAGAGAAAATAAAAATGCATGCCTTGCAAGAGTTCGGGTCGTAGGAGGTTAAATTGTGATTATGAAGTTTTTACCAAAAATCGTGTTACCTGTGTCATTTTTAAAGGCTTTTCTTCTGCAGAGCTCCAGTAGCTCATTAGCAATTCGCCTCTGAGTCGTGGGCAAAGAAAGCACCGCTCTGCACACTCGTCTTCACGTTAGCTTGCAGCCTACCATTGTCGGTGTAGTGGAAGTGGCAGGTAACATAGGAGCTCTTTAGGTCTCGGACACTAATGTCTTTAGGGACACGATGAAGGCTAATATCATAATTATCTTTCTTACAAGCATTGCAATCCGCTAACGCACACGCTTGTTCCACCAGTGGTCTACTCTGCCTCTGTTTTTATATTTGTCGTGTTTGTCGTCCGCTACTGTATTGTTGTCTGTTGTTGTTGCTTTTCTGTTTGAGGACAACGGATGGAAATTAGCCTTAGCTAACTCCGGCTGGTTTACAATGAGAATAGACATACATATTTCTTGCATCATGTCTTCTTCTCCTTGTCCATGAACTGGTACTGTCCTGTCTAAATAAATGAATAAATAAATAAATAAATATCATCCTCTGTATTTCTCCTCTATATGCAGAGTGTGGCCTGCATAGTGGGGCTCCGGGGGCACTGTTTCACTGTGAAATCTCACTGTTTCTGAACCTGTCGTTTGGGTCTGCCAGAGATTCACAACGATTGGAATGAAGAAATACTCAGAAAAGCAATTTCGCACTTACTTTTCTCGTGATATGTCCTGTAGCGTCAGAAAAATGAACATATTAAAAAAAAAAAAAGAAAAATATGATTTTCATCAAAGTGGGTCTTTAAAAGCGTTCAAACACAAGCGCGTCTGTAAAGTGTTGTGGTCAGCATCTCCTCTCTCACATCCTCTCTGAGCTCGTATCTGATCATGTGACAGAAGATGAGGTGAATTTCCAAAGTATTGTTAATTAATGACTGATTTGATACAAATTTCACCGTTAATACCAAAGCTTCCCCAAAACTAGCGCAGTTCCAGACTATGTGAAGGAAAGCCTGTATTTATCATAATGGTAATAGTATAAGATAGTAATGTCGGAGTAATATTATAGGACTTGACTCACAGTTGTGTTATTTGGAGGTCATTCAGAGTTCGAAGTTGACATCCCTGATAGATTCTGCATAGTGGCTACCACCAAGTCTCCGTAAAGCCGTATAAAATTCACCCTAAATGCACTTGTCTGAAATATACGTTTGTTGTAGTGAAGCACATTTGCATAGAAAGAGGACAATATTGCCCCAAAGGAATGCAAAGCGACTTATTCAAATACATGCAAACAGCACTGGCAAGAGAAAGGCTATTTTTACAGCTGTGCAGCTCTGCTGAATAAGATGATATCTTTTCATCCCATTAGCACAGGTTTGCTGAAGAGAAAGGCTGCACAGTCCTTTTGTTCGTCAAACCCTGAATTTGAGCTTCTGGGATGAGCGGTTCAATTTACGTGATTTTGTGAGATAAAATATCCTTGAAGTCAATTTGTGTTCATCAATATAAAAACAGACAAGGATAAAAACTTTCCTTTTAGATGCAACAAACTTTCAGGAACTTTTTGTTTAGACGCTGGTATCAAGTGCACCCAAATGTGATCACCAAGTGCAAAGTTGGAGCTCGAACACACCTATCAGGTGGAGATTTGGAGAAAAGAAAGTCAGCTAATGGAGGATCTGTTTTCTTCATTTGCGATGAGCTTAGAGGTGTTGTGTTTGGAGGCTTCGGTTTCAGGTGGATACGAGGTTAAGAGCAGGACAGACAAAGAACGAACAGAGATTACATTAAGGAGAGGTAAAGTGGGCAATGCTAGATTTAGATGAAATAGAACTTATTCCCGTCATAACAGAGACAGACATAGAAGAGGAGACAGCTGATATGCTCAGTCTGGTTGGCGTACTCTCTGTCCACCTGAGACTCCACCCTCACACCTTTTCCTGTAACACACAGACACACACGCTCTCTGTCTATCACCCTCACAGACAAAAAAACAAAACACAAGTCCTGGACACAATTTCCCTGCAATTGGAGCTTCTAGGCGTTTATGTGTGTGTGTGTGCATGTTTGTGTGAAATCTGTCTGTCTCCTTGAATTATCGCCCCTTGTCCGCCCCGCGGCTTCCTGTTGACGAAGAAAGCCAGAAAGGCAAAAAACTGTGAAGCAGAATGTGAGAGACATGCTGGATGAACGGTAACTTCCTCGACCCAGCCCCCCAGTCCGTCTCTCACACTTACGCATGCACACACACGTTATTGCACTCTGCTCTTTGTCCCCCGCTCTTTCCTCCATCTCTCCATTCCAGTTCGTTCTCCCCCTCCACCTCCCTCTATTCAGCCTCCTTCCTCTAAGTCGCTGCCTTTGACCTCGGCTCTGGTATAAAAGCTAACCTCACACGTCACACAGAGGTCACCCGCACACAGGGGAGGTCAAGGAGAGGTTGTATTCGTGCCCCTGGGGTGCTGCTGCCTCTGTCCCCAAGGACTTTGGGCAATGTGACAAGGACGAGGCAGAGGGTGGAGGTGATAGGGGGTTGGGGTGGGAGTGTTCCACTTGACCCAGGGGGGGTAGTGGATGTTCGACTTGCACACATGCAGCTGTATGCACTGAAAAACAAACATATAGGATTTGGATTTGACGCAAATTGTTTAGAAAATAACTCAGTTTTTGGCAAAACTGCGACAAATCAGGTTTCAGATTCACATTCAGAGCTTCTGTATCTGTTTAAAATCTTTCTTTGACAGAAATGTGAATTTTTATTCAAGTTTTAGAGAAATACTGCAGTAAACAAAGCTTCAGGAGCACAAAAAGAGTCAATTTAGAGTGCTCTATCCACTCAAATCCATACATGACTAAGAGTCCTCAGCAGTTTTTAGTTTTCTGTGAGCTCACACAATAACAACAGCTAATTGTCTTCATATTTACATTTTAAAAAACACGCTTTTTATTTTTATTTTTCTCATTGTTTCCTCGACAGTCAATAATACAACTTAATTTAAAAAAAGAAAACATAAAAACACGATTGTTTTTCCTCCATCCGTTTGATTATTATCCTCTGTTTCTTGTGTGTGTGTGTGTGTGTGTGTGTGTGTGTGTGTGTGTGTGTGTGTGTGTGTGTGTGTGCTGATTGTCTCCCACAAAATGATCTGTCTTCCTCAGAGCAGGGTGACAGGTCCCCTAGTGCCACACAATAGACAGACAACCCCGTCTCTCACACACACAGACACACACACACACACATACACACAGTCACACTTACCATACAGCCAGATGGGCTTGCGTCCCCCATCGCCAGACAAATTAAGTTTGGGCCCCAGATTAATATTCAGCCAAAGCACTGGCTCTATATAATTGAATCATGGTGCCATGAGTGTACAACAGGGGCTACTTTAGATGCAGCCACCATGTGCACACGCAGACACACACAAATACACACTTGCAACAACACTTGGCTGCCAGCTGCGCTCGGTATCCTGTCTGCTTATTGGGGGGCAGGTCATGAATACAGAATCCCAATTCTCTGTGCACCACACATTATTTTACGGTGGATTTTACTTTTAGATTTACTCACTCCAAGAAAAGGAGAGTAAACACACACACGCTGTTTTACCACCGGTCTGACCAAAAACAGCAAAGAAAGGATCTTTAGGAACACGACAAAGATGGTAGCTAGGTTAAATATTGGCCAATATGGAGTCGGTGAAGAAACTATATCTGTCTGTTTGATTATTTGGACTCATTAAAGTGTTGCGCAGCATATCCACAGTATTAGATGAGTTGTAAAAAACAATATTGTTATTTAGTCTATCGTTCCACCCGTGCTGCGCCCTTTACTTGTTTCTCATTAGGGGTGTAAATCATCAGTTTCAAGAACCAACACTATTTTATTGCTTCATTGGAAAGCAATGCAATATTTGCTGGAAACATTAAGTGTCACAGTTTGACATTAGTTTGATTCACTTCACCGGCCTGCAGTCAATATGAGCAGGCATATCAGGCTCGTTTCAACAGCAGGTTACATTTGTAGCAAACATATTAATTGATTTGTATTCGTGTTGATTTATATCAAACGTTATCTCCAGAGTTTAACACAAACAGCAGGTCTGCAATTTACTCTGTTGTATTATTCACAAAGAGACAGTGTTGATCAAGCATGAGCAAAATACTTGGTGATGATCAGCAAGGAAATATTTGTAACCTCAGGCCGAACCAGGATTCTGATTGACACAGTGATACTGCGATAAGATGCAGAGGGAAATGCAGAAAGACAGAAAAGGAAAGAGACAAACACGAAGATCGGGAACAGCAGATAAAACAGAAGCAGGGTCACAACACAAGGAATACAGGTTTATTATTGAAACAAACTTCCCAAGACAAAACCCAAAGCAAGGTCACTCCTGATACCCCAAGCAATGCAACGATACGATACAAGATGATATGAATCGAAACAATACAAAACAAAACGATGCGGTACGATACCATACAATACAACACGATCTGATACAATACAATAGGATACGATATGATACGATACGATACAAGATCATATGAATCGGAACGAAACAACTCAACACGATGCGGTACGATACCATACAATACAACACGATTTGATACAATACAATAGGATACGATATGATACGATACAAGATCATATGAATCGGAACGAAACAACTCAACACGATGCAGTACGATACAATAGGATTTGATGCAAAACCATTCCATACTATACAAAAGGATACGATAAGATACAATACAATATGATTTGATTTGATTTGATACGATATGATACGATACAATATGATACGATACGATATGATACGATACAATATGATACGATACGATATGATATGATACGATACGATATAATATGATACGATACGATACGATATAATATGATACGATGTGATACGATTCGATACAATATGATACGATATGATACGATGCGATATGATACGATACAATACGATATGATACGATATGATACAATACGATATGATACGATACGATATGATACGATACAATACGATATGATACAATATGATATGATACGATACAATATGATACAATACGATACAATATGATATGATACAATAATACGATACGATACGATATGATATGATACGATACGATATGATACGATACCTTACAATATGATACGATATGATATGATACGATATGATACAATATGATACGATATGATATGATACGATACAATATGATACGATATGATATGATACGATACGATACAATATGATACGATATGATATGATACGATACAATACAATATGATATGATACGATATGAAACCATACCATATCATACAAAAAGATATGATATAATACGAAATGACACGATATGATGCGACAAGACAAAAAATTAATTCTGATAAAAACCAGAATTTTGTGGGTGAAAAGGTTAAAAATCTTAATTTGTGGAGACAAACAAAAGTATTTATATTACAAATTGTTATGAATCACTCAACGTAATCTTAAGTGTGTGTTTCAGTCTGG